AGCCAGCCCATCTCAGTGTGGTAACAAGACCCTCCCCTTATCCTCCTCAAAGCACTCTGCAAATTTCCCAGTGGCTTCCTGGCAGGTTGGGCAACACTGCATCCACACCGGGTGCTGGTGATAGGCACAGTGCAAACAACCAGACACCTATTTACATGTAGCGGTCTGTCTGGTTCCAGCACTTAATCTTCCAGGCTCCACCAGCAGTAGGTAGCCAGCCCCTGATCTCCTGCAGCAAAAATGCCGTTTAGCTCCTGCCCATACTGGAGAATGCTGTTTTTTGTAAGTTTAGCAGGCTTTCTTTCAGGTGAGGTAATATTGTTTTTTGATGTGAATAATAATTACTTAAAAACTGACTATCTTACAGCAAGGAGATATTCTACTTGGGAACACAGCCCTGAGTAGCCGCCAATATGCAATTAGATTGCTGACTGTTTGTGCAGTTTAGTCCCACTTAATACCCAGTTGCCTCAGGTATACAAGGCAGCACTAAGACTGCAGCTCAGTGGCACGATTCTCATAAGCAAGTAATGTTATGTGAACTTTGGGGTTTATGTGGTTGCCATAAGGGTTCATTAGCCAACTAACTATATACATCTCTGTATGTCTTTCAGATTTGTCTGAAACTGGAGCTTTTGCCAGTCAGAGTGACTGCGACAGTACAACCATAGATAACGTGACTCAGAGCCTTCAGGTAAGAGGACTAAACCAGGGCAGTTACACAGATCCCTTCTGCTGCTGGCTGGGGCAACAGGGCCCTGTGGGGCAGGCACATGAAGTAGGATGATCTTGTGGGAGAGCTCTGCTGGTGTCTCCTTCAGCTGCTCTGTGACAGGGGGGCTGGAGATTCATGATCCTTGAGGTTCCTTCCAACTCGAGCCATTCTGTGTTTCTGTGATTCTGTGCTCCTGTGCATGACAGCAGGGGAGGAGACGAAAGAGCAAAGTGTGAGTGCAGGCACTGACCTGCTGTGTCTTTGATCCTACTACTGCTAGTCAAAAAATAGCCTTATAGATGTGTTTTCCAGTTTTACTTTGCTCTGCATACACAAAGGGGCTTGCACATAAACAACCATCTCTTTTATCTCTTGTGCAATGTTTTCAGCCCTTAAATAGTGTTAAATAGTTTAAATGCAAATAAAGCCACCCATCCAGTTAACCTTGGTAGAAATGGTAGAAAGAGTATTTCTTTAATGTATGACCTATGCCCATCGCTTCCACTGATGTCTCTGAAAGCTCGGTTACCAGTTGTTGACAAGTGCTGAGGGCTGACACAGAGGGCTGAGCTGGACTTTTTCTTATGTCTAAGTACACACTAACTGGGGTCTGTTATAGAGATGGCAGTCACCTGAGGAGTTTCCCACAGTTTTTCTCTATCCACACATGCACATACATGTGGAGTGAAAGATACATTCATGCTTACATAGAGCAAACAGCTAGATAAAACTACAGATACTTCTTTGTTTACACTTTCACCCTGTCCCTGGAGGTGTTCAAGGCCAGGTTGGATGGGGCCCTGGGCAGCCTGGTCTAGTATTAAATCGGGAGGTTGGTGGCCTTGCCTGTGATGGGGGGTTGGAGATTCATGATCCTTGAGGTCCCTTCCAACTCGGGCCATTCTGTGATTCTGTGATTGAGATTTCACAAATGCCTATGTTTACTTACACAAAGAGGAACTCTGTGAGACGCTAGCATTCAGAAACAGAAGTAACAAACCAATGTATTATGCAGAAAGGAGGTACATACAACTGTTTACAAAGACGTGTTTTCTCAGTCCCAGTATGAAGAACCCTATCTATTCTTAAATTTATTCCAAGGCTTTTCCTACTCAATGTATTGTTTTTTTCCCTTCTAACTCCATAGAAATATTCAACATGCCTTCCTGAAATGGCCAAAAAAGATGGACGAGATTCACTCAATCGCTTTATCTGGATACTGAAAGACAGTCTTACTCTTCTGCAACCTTTGCAAGGCAAATGTGAGACCCGTACTGCAGCCACATTTCTCTTCTTTGGGTGTTGAATGAAGCAGCAGCAAAGATGCCACAGGATATAGATATTTAAACTGCATTCAGCATGATCTAAGTCCCTGCATTTTTTTAGGGAAAAAATTAAAAAGAAAAGGAATCACAGCAGGAATCTAGAGAGCAAGGATGCTTGCCACTGTATCTGGGAGGCAGGGAAGCCCTGCGGTGGTGCTGGACCTGGGAATGGGCACCTCAGTCTTGTTCTGGGACATGCTTTGGTAGTTCTAACTCCAACAGCGCTGAATGTTGATGCTGTGAATGCAAAGGCCTCTTTGACTCACTTCTAAAGCGTAACTTCTGCTGCCAGGCACTTTGTTCTCACAGCAACAAGTGATGGAAAAATTGAGCATTGCCAAAAAAAAAAAATAAAAATGCTTTTAAGCAAACAAAAAAAGCCTGCTTTGCCCACGTCAGGTAATGGGGAAGTTATCACCTGCACCAGGTCAATGACTATGCATTTAGTTTGCTTGGGAAGAGACTGGTCTACCCATTTTCACTTCTTTTTTCTTTCTTTTTCTTTCCTCTTTTTAAACTCACATGAAAGTTTGCAAGCATCTGCCTCAGTGCCCGCAGCCTATTGCCCCTAAGAATGGTGGGATAGTGTGCATCACTATTGGCAGCACTGAGTACTGCAAACCCATGTGCAACAAGGTAATAGTCACAGTTCACTGCTACTAGCTTTCTGGCTTTATTCATTAATTTACAGATGCTTATTATGGTGTGGTGCATTATTTCCTCATTACACTTTTTTTTCCCCTTTATGATAGTGAGAAATTGTAGTGTTTGTATTGATCTTTGCTGGCTGAATGTTTCTTCACTTATGGTTACTGTGATACAGGCTGAATTGTGTTTATCCCATTCCTCTTCCCCAAGGGTTACGATTTCTCATTCCTCAGAAGAAGCAGGCTGTATGAAAGCTGTGGTAGTAGCACTGGGTTCACCTGGACGACTCAGCTGACTGGAGGGCAGACACTGGCTGTCTGTGAATGTGAGTAGCCCTCAAACATCTTAGTATGGGTGTGGGGGACTCAGGGGGGGAAAAAAGGGAGAGAAAGAGGAAAAACCTCGCTGGCACTTGTGAGACTCTGAGAGCTGATGCTGGACTGGCCTCTAGTCTACAGGACCAGAAATCTGGCTTGTTTTAAAACCACCACAGAGGTCTGTGCTGGTGAGCACTGCTATTTAAGCTTGGACTAGCAAAAAGCACTTGTACCCATTAAGTTTGTGGGATGGTGCATCTTGACACAAATGCTGTGAGGCACAGTGATTGTGTGACCAGCTGGACTGGCAGCAGCAGCACAAAACAGCAGTTTATCTTGCAACTGTACCCAAAGTGCCTCAGCAGAACTGGCCACCACCTGCACCACTCGCTGTGTGTACAAACCATAAAAGCCAGCAGCTGTTCCTAGCCAGCAGTATTATCTCATCATGTGGCAGCCCAAGGGTTCTAAGTATGCTTCCACTGCATCCAGCAAGCAGTCTGTGACCTGAAGCAGCTGTCTGAATCTGCTATTGCCATAATTTAAAAATAAATATTCATGCACACACATAAAGGAAAAGACCAATCTTTCTCCTGTATGTTTAATTATAAGTACTTTACTGTTGACTGCTGTTGTTACTAGAACAGTTTATTTCCTAAGGCTTAAAAAAAAAACAGTTCTGCAGTGACTTTTATTCCAAGTTGAAGCTTCTAGCCTGGAAAATGGGAATGCCGGTGACTGTTTAAAATCAGGATAAATACACCTGGGTTTAGCTGCATAATTCAGCTGTTTTTTCTGGCTTTGATCTTTCCAGACTCAGAGAAAGCAGTGAGTGGAGCTGAATCTGCCTATTTCCCCGACAACAGCAGCTGTCTGCACACATTAGCCTACAGTGAGCACGAGCAGCTGGACACCTTCCTCAAAGAGCTTGCTAAGCAAGGCATAGACACCTTCAACCACGACAAGGAGGCAGACTGTCTAATATGTGGTTATTAGCAGGAGGGACTAGCAGGCATGGCATGCTTGTACCACAGACCAAGAGGCTGGCTGTGGTTGGATGTGAGTATTTCAACAAGAAAAGCAGAGCAGTAAAATCCCTCCTAAGAGCTATGAACATACAGCTTGTATTTAGTTAAAAGATTTGAGATCACAGTCACCACTTGACCTCAGCTCTTGGGTACAGATGCATACACTAAATCTAGTTGCATAGCTCACAGCAGGGACATTTCAAAGAATGCAGATTATATTTTTATGCCTTAAATTTGTCTTACCATAATTATAAGGGAATTACAGCCTCTTAATTGATGCATTCATTAGTTAAGCGTAGTAATTGTTCTCAGAAATCATCTTCTGTAAAGATGGATCATTTTTATGGAGGAAGAGTTGTGCTTCTAGTTGCTTTCACAGTTGTCAGTTGTTAATCACTGTTGTTGCTTTGGTGACCATTAAAACTATGCAAGTCATAGCAGCTATGGCTATAGGAAACAACTTTGTGCACGTGCCTGTGTGTTCAGGGGTGAAATCAGACTGTGCGTACAGGTGTTTAGGGAGCTGCGGCTCACAGGAGCTAAGGATATGAAGCTCTGCAGTTTGCTAGGGGAACAGCTCAAACATCTTTCCCTTTGTATTTACAAACCTGAGGATGTCCCACAGAAGTGTATACAATCAGGCACAGTTCAGAGCATTAATAGCACTCTAAAAGTGCCCTGTATTCTTGCTGTAGCTAGATAAAAGAGCAGGAAAAATGCAACATTTCAGCCTGGCACAAAATGTGAGAAATGGGATCACCCTAAATTATCAGAAATTTCCACCATGTCTTCTTAGGTAGAGGTTACTGCAAACTGTAATTGAACTTCAGAGGAGGAATACAAAAGCACCTGAGATCCAGAATCACAGAATGGCCTCAATTGGAGGGACCTTAAGGTTCATGTATTTCCACCCCCCCCCCCCCCGCTACATGCAGGGCCACCAACCTCCCCACTTAATACCAGACCAGGCTGCCCAGGGCCCCGTCCAACCTGGCCTTGAACACCTCCAGGGACGGGGCATCCACAACTTCTCTGGGCAGCTGCATTAGAGTGGAGCTCTAGGGCTTTGGACTGAGCGCAGGGCAGACTGGCTAAGATGCTTTGGTGTCAGTACAACTGTGCTGGGGCATTTCCCAGGCCTAGACCAAGATATCTGCAGCTCCTGGCTAGTCACCCTCCCTGGTCTCCCTTCCATTACCATATTTCCAAACCCAGTCTACACTGAGGCAGATTTGGCTGTTACCACCACTACCAAAAATATAGCTCATCATCCAAATATGTAGCAACTCAAGTATGAACAAAGATATGATCAACTGATTTTTGTAATTTATTCTTATAATGAAATACAAAATTATTTGTTCCTGCTTCCACTTCACTTCCTTCTGCAAGTGCTCCTTCTTTGACATGTCCTTACACATCAGTAATGCCTGTGAGTACACTGGAAACCCAAAGATACAAAGAACTAAGCATGAAGAGCAGAAAGCCCTGGTTTTTGGTCACCTGGCATTTAACATGGGTAAAGAACAGGGACAACATAGCACTGGAAATGCAGTTTATTTGTGGAGCTCTTGCTACAGAGCAGATGTGTATGTGGATTATGATGAAAGCTAAACAGAAAGCTTAGTTATTGCTTGCTTGTTTTTTTCAGTGGAATCTGAGGTTGGGGTTTTCTTTTACTTTTCATCTGTTGAGCAAACATTGAAGCCATGAGTCTGAAGACAACCAGCCCATCTGTTCGCATTTCCTTTCTCTTTACCTTCTCCCTATCCTTGTGAATCTTTCAGACACAGACAGCAATTACAGTATACACGATGTTTAATTGAACTTAATCCCCATTAATTGCTTAAATGATTCAATTAAGTAATATTATTTAGTAAAAATTACACACTGCCTTTCAGGCTTAGAATGCAGTTATTGCAAGCAAAAATCCTCCCGTTGTTTTTGGGCTCGGAACCAGCTAGTCATATGACTATTTGTTAGTGTAGCAATTACATCAAGCAAGGGATGAGTTGGCTGCTTTGTCTGCATAGGAACTGTAAGGCTGTAGCTTGAGTCACGGCATTTGTGAGAAAAATGCTGTAGTCTTAAAGAAAAGCAAATGTTTTTCGGAGATTGGTGTTTATTTTTGACAAACAAATTGTCAGTATCAAACAAAATTATAATGTCCTTGAGTCTTTCATTTCCAGCCAAATCATTATCAGCTGATGCTCAAATGCATTATCTGTCTGAAGCACTGAGCACTTTCCATTATCATTTTTCTACTGGTACTAAAAACAATTTTCTGTAGTTTTATTGAGCTAATCTAGCAACTTTCCAAACCAACTAACAAAGGAAAGAAACACAGTATTGGACTTCATAAGGAACTCATGCCCATTCTTCTTGTAAAGTAATAGAAACTGTTAAATATTTGCATAAAAAAATCTTACTAATAAGCTTCACTTAATGTGGAAGATCAGGCTGGAAAGCTTTAATATGATATTGCATGAATTTGATATTAAGCTAAAAATTATTATTGTTATAAAATGGCAGAGTTTTGTTCTATTCCCACCATCTAATTTGTTACTTATATGTGAAAAGGGGCAGCTGAACCAATAAGCCTGTACAACACAGTTAAAAACTAAAGTAAATTTAATGACATTACTTCCCAGACTAAATTTGCATAATGTAATTTAGGGAAAAAGTTGCTGTATGTTTGCATTAACTACGAGCTGGCATCTGACTGGGCATGTCTGAGCACTGGGCTAAGCCTCTTGTTCCAGCCCTAGGAGTGGGAAGGGCTTTGCATTCTGACACTCAGGATTTAGCAAAGAGAAGAATATTCATATTGCAGTAAAGCAACAAGAAACATTATATGCCAGCAATTTCAAATCAGAAAAATAAGAACAAGATGCTTCTTTCTTGCACCGTTCCGCATTTTTGTAGGTCTCACAGTACAACCAGACTAAACCAGCTCCCCAGACTATATTGCTTGCTTTGATACATTCACAACTTGTCAATGATATCAAAGGCTTTGTAATATTTGCAGTTTAACAATGGAGAGGCAAACTTTACTGGTTATTAGTTAAGGGAATACAATACTGTACAGTCTTGCTTTTCAATAAGGAGTTTTGTTTTTTGTTTTCACTTCATTATAGTGAAAGAGAAGATGACAACGTAGGAATTAAGTATCTATATTACTTACATTACCAATAGCAGTATGGTGTAGACAGAAAACAGAAGGCAAAGCGCTGCATCAAATGAGAACAAAATTTGACACATTCTCTTTTTACTGGGACTTAACACAGATGGAGTGGCAAAACAGTGAGTTTGGGATGGACCTTGAGCAGAAAAGGTGATCCTGGCAGATTTCATAGTTCTGAAGCAGCCTTTGAAAGAATGTGTGTCTGGCTTACACTGAGCCATGCAGTGAGATCTGAGGCACACGCTTCATCCGCCAGATCACCACTACTGCAGGGGGGAGGACCATAAGGAAGCTCATGATCAGCACTGTAGCACAAATGACCAGCAGTATTTCCCATGGTGCCAGGGTTGTTTCCTCCACCATTTCCTCCATTCCAAGAGTATGAAGCTGTAGGGAAGAAAATACACCGCATTACCTTTTTTTTTTTTTTTTTTTTTTTTTTTGTAAATAGATGTTACAACTGTATAGATGTGCTTGTTTTATTTAGCCAGGGGCTGTGTAACAGAGCAATGACATAGAGCTGTCAAACAATGTGTTGAGTCAGTGTTATCTAGCATTACAAAATGTCAAATCTTGAACTTTTCAATCTAGTTTTCCATTTCATTTTTCAGAGTGGAGCACTGGCTTTGCTCTTGTGGGTTTTCCCATTAGCATATGATGGGGTAAGTCAAAATGTGTCACTGGGGGTTACCTGCCACATAAGGTCCACAGTTATCAGATTAAAGAAAAAGATTTAAAAATGAATATTACCAATACATTTTTTAACATTTTTGCAACAAGTACAGACAGAAATGTACTCACTTAGCAGGAAAATAAATATGATTATAACGAGCAGAGCTGATAAAGTGTCTGGGAACAAGGAGAGAAAGAGGAGACTGGAGGGAAATTGTTCTATCACTGAAGACTGGATCACATCAGGATTTTGCCATTTAGCTGTCCAGCAAACCATTTTCTGGGAATTTCAAACAGTCTTCTTGTTTGAAAGCATTTAAAAGTTTTGTTTTCCTGCTTTAGCCTAGCACACAACTTTAGACAGTCTCCAACAAGCTGGCTGGACCAGCTGCTTTCTCTTATGTCAGGCAGAATGCAAAGCTCAGCATAGCTGAGCTCTTGAGCAAAATGGCTGCCCCCTCTATGTGGGAGTGCAGGGAGTTTCACTCTCTTACTGCGTTTCCCTTTCCCTTCCCCTTTCCGCGGAGCACCAAACGGCGTTACATGGCTATCTGCTGACTCTAAAGCTCAGAACAGTAGGGTACAATAGAAGAGTGATCTGTGAATCATCAGCACCGGGTTTCTGAGGCAGGAGAGAGGCCCGCTCACAGGTGTGCCCTAACTCAGCAGGAACCAGGTGCTGCTGCTCAGCACAGCCCCACACAGCTGAGCACCACGATGGGCCACATATAAAGGTGGTGCTGGGGAGGGAAAGTTCAATCACAACACCTTGCTTTTGCTGTTGTCTGGAAGAAGGTCTCCCAAACAGTATTGCTCTCAGCCCAGGATCATGGCCGAGGCTTTTCCAGAGGCTATCCAAGGTTTGTCTGGGGCTATTTGAGGCGAGATATAATGGGCTTCTGTAATTAAATGCTAAACCTTACAAAAAAAAAAAAAAAAAAAAAAAAAAACCAGACAGATCAAATACATGGTTTAGGAAGAAGTGAAAAATGAGTGGACTTTAAAAGTTTGCAAGCTGCCAGCAAATTTTTACCTGGTGTAGGAGTATTGAAATTGCTGTCACTAAGAACTTCTTGTTACAGCCTGCGAGGAAGAGCAAGAGCTGTCTGATACCAAATCCTGCAGAGTTTGGATGATGATATCTACAAGGAAAGCTAGCAGCCTATTAGGCAGGCTTCAGCTGGAGCTTTACTGAGCTGTTAAATGAGCAGGGTTCTGCCACCTGAAGGTAAACTTTAGCTCTCTGGTGTTGACTTGCTGTTTTTTGTATCTGCGTCCTAATCTCTCAAGGTACCAACTCAAACTATTTTAAGAAAAAAGGGAAAACCACTTTCCCTTCAGGCTCAGTTACACCTGTGCAGGCTCTGTGTCTGCCTTGCAGCAGTGCTGAGACCTTTCCAGAAACCACAGCCCTTGTGAACTTGTGCCAGGATTTACAGTTCACATTAATGTCAACTCCTGCAAGCTGTGGAATGTTGCAAAGGATATGGGTGTAGCTTCTAGCTCAGAGCCTGAAGCACAGATGGGGTGACTGTCTCCCTGCCAGCTGAGCACATACCTGTGGCAGGACAGCTCCGGAATGTCACCTGTTAGGCTTGTTCCTCCGTGACAGTCTGGCCTTTCTTAGTGCACTAAGTTTTCTTCTTCCCTCTCTTTGGGTGCATGAAAGAAAGCAAGTGTGAGGCCATTAAAAACAGAAGAGGCAGCTGTAGGTGAGCCTGGGGAGCTGCCTCCTGCTGTTTTTTTTTTGTTTGTTTGTTTGTTTGTTTTTCAGTCACAGCTGCAGGAGAGCACTAGATTGAATCCTTTTCTCCCCTCTGCCCAATTGTTCTCCTCCATCTGACTCTGAGATCTCCTGCTCCTGTTTCTCCCTCAGGTATTTATCTGTGCCTTGCTGCTGTTTAGTTCTTCCACTTTCATTTTGAGCCTTATGTGTTATTATGCCTTATTTGCTCTGTTCCTCATTCCCCTCTCTCAGTTCTCCTGTTTGGACAAGGTGTTACTCTGCTTTTTTTTATTTTTTTATTTTAAGGGAACAAGCGGTTTCTCTACTTCCTGTAATGCTGACCCCTCATCAGCAGATGGCTCAGAGACAAAATCCAACCACAGAACCTGCTGGACTGCACACAGCAGGCTTGTAGTGACAGAGCAGACAATGCTTTCTCCATTAAATGATGGATGTGAGGGAAGCACGCATCTGTAATCTTTCCTAAAACAAAGTCTGAGTGACTGTTAGTCGTACTACACCATGTTGAGTCAGAAACAGAGAGCACCCTGGATGGAGAAAATTGAGGCCCTTTCGAGATAGTAAGCTCTATGGTTTGCTGAATGTGAGTTTTGCTTGGACATACAGACACCAGGAGAAGGCACCCCTTTGCTTGGTCCCTGGTGAAGCTGCGCCCTTATGCCTGGATAAGAGGTTGCTGAAGGGCACTAGTACTCCCGGCAGTAAAATGAAGTTGACACAAAATCCTGCATGAAACTGGGAGAAATCACTCACTGGGAGGTACCAGCTGGGTTCTGGTGAGCCTTGCCACTTCTGAAGCACTGAAATACTCTGCAGTCAGAAAACAATGCTGAGGACGGTATCACAGAGGCGACAGAGAAGTGATGGGAAGATCTGCTGTGGTATAGAGCAGCTTCAGGGAGTAAAGACTGAAAAGCTGTAGAAAAAGCAGCAGTTCATTTGCTGAAGTTCTTGTTTTGCTCATCAGGAGCTGATAGCTACATAAGTTTAGCTAGATAAGCTGATGACTAATAACTCTCCTAAGTCTTACAGAATGTCCCTGAACTATTAACTCGTCCTTCACCAGCCTATTCTGTGCTTCCCTGTACTCATGTTTTTCACTTTCTTGTATTTTAAAGCTATGCGCTCTTAATTTATGGGTGAGGGCTTCACAGCCTGGGACACGTACAGAGCTTGCTTTGGTCTGTCACAAACTGTTCCTGACCCACTCTGTATGACATATCAGCCATATAAATAAGGAAATCACGACTGGAATGCATTTGAAATGTAAATAGGTGCACTAAGAAGTGAGTCTGTTAAACCACAATACTGAGCAATTAGCAGGTACTAAGGCTGGAGGTCATAACACACTCCTGAGTTTTGCCTGCCTGTGTCAAGTAGCCTAGTTCATCCAGTACAGCTCTGTGACATCTGGAGCTGTTACTCAGATAATGAGATGTTTATTGCATTGACAGTGTTTGATCTACTCAGCATATGTGGTGAAAACATTCCAAACAACTAGTATTCTTTGCTGATGTTCTAAAAAACTTCTTGGGTTTGATTATAGGAGAGTATGAATGAAAAAACTTGAATATAGTGGTTAACCAAAACATCTCTCTAGAAAATAAATATAGTGGTGTGTTTCTTTCATAATAAATACACAGCTGTTGAAGCTTTGCAGTTCTTTATCTCAACTAAAAATTCTCATCAGAATGTCAGCATACCAGATCTGCTCTCTAAACCACACTATATATCTATAGCATCCTTCATTGCAAAATAGTTTATCTCTGTTTGTCTGCAAGATTAAAGGCCTCTGCAAGGGTGGGAGAGTAATGGAATAGAATGCAATACTTGACTTCTCTAGAGCAGTATACAGTGAGTGCTTTTGATAAGGGAAAAAGGCCTATTAAACTGTGGTTTGTTTTTTTTTGGTTGCATCCTCAGTTTCCCATGTTTGTTTCAGATTTGTCGGAAGCTACATAGACTGAAGTCTTCCCTTTCTCAAGTTCATGCAAAACCCCTCTGGATGTTGAAGAAGCAATTTTCTTAGCACAGTTGACAGACTTGCTTTTTAGAGAAAAAAACAATTCTATTCTTACACTCACCACAGAAAAGAATTGCAATTTTGAAACACGCATCTGGAAGTGAAGCTGGTATGCTTCATTAAGAGCCTGTTTAATGCTATCTGAAGTAGGCCTTGTAAAGCATGTTAGATTACAGATTGCTTTGCTGCTACCCTTAACACAGATCCATTCATGACCAATAATGTCTTCGAAATCACAGCACTCTTACAGAGGACTACATTAGCAGGAAAAAAAGACTTGTGTAACAGTACATATATTTAGCTGTCACACTATACAGCCTGCTACGCTATCCAGAAGACAATATTGTTTGGCCATTTAATTTACAGCTTTTACTTCTAATCACTAGGGGAAAAAAAGCCATGCAAGCAGAAGGGGTAACTGAATTTGTCAGGCTGCTCTCTTCCACTGAGTTAGATGGGCAGTGTGCCTAGGACAGAGCTGCCTGGTGGCTTGTTTCTGCCCTCTAAGGAATCTGCAGTCTTGCCCTACCACCTGAAACTACTTAGCAATGCTTGTCCAGCCTGCTGCAGGTGCTGATGTGTCCAATGATATTTTTTATTTCAGCTGCAATGAAGCTGAGTTACATAGCTATATTTCTCTGTTAATCTAGCATTTTTTTTTTCCCCAAATCACTCATGAATCTTTTCTTTGAAAAACCAATTGTAAAGGTGTCATGAAAAGCCACAATTATTTATCTGCTAAACAAACAGGGCCAGGGTGGGAAGTTACTTTTCCTCAGTGCAATGAGGCCAAATGCTGAGAATTGCAACAGTTACAGAAAAAAATAAAAAGGAGCAGCCTCTGTTCTCTACAGAAGATTTAATGTAGTCTTTTTAAGCCTATGGGGTCACTGTAATGTGAGAAGGTCCCTGAATGAGATGCTTGAGGGAGGTGGTGGCCTCCCAGGCTGTTGCTTGCTCTCACTTGTGGGTCCTCTGCCTTGCAGAAACATGATCTGGCAACTGAATTGAGATCAGAAATATCTACATATATAACCTCCAAACTTCAGAACATTCAACTATCTTGTACTAATTTTTCCTCTATACTTGGTAACGTCAAAACTCTAGTGGTACTGACCAACCTCTGGGAACAAAGAAAACAAATTTTAAAGAATTCTTCGGAGAGGCTTCTAAATACAGCCACCAAAAGGTGGAACGGATCAGCCTGCAGTGCCAGTTTCATACCAGTCAAGCATGTTATTTTCTCCTGTTTCTCAGGAAAATGACAGCTTTTAATGTTAAATGAAAAAACACCTGAGAGCAAAAGACTGGGAGATGAACAGGAACACGGGCAAAGGCTGTTGGCCTTTCCTCATCTTGAGTTCCAGCAGGAAGCTGTAATTCTTTCATCTTGCCTAACACAGTATTTCAGGTTTAAACACATATTCCTGGAAGGAAAGAATTTTCTGAATCCTTTTATTCTTAGATGATTTCTGGAGATAAGTACCTCAGACGGGGGAAGCCTCAGTGCTCACAATGACAGAACAAATTCCCAACTGGTAAGCTGCTCAGTACTCTTCTACTGAATAAAAAACTGGTTGCTAAATATTTGCAAAGCAAGGATAAACATACCTAGAGCTGATACTTGGGTATAGACTTGTGTGACTGAGTATTTATGGAAGCACACTGAGGAAACTAGACCCTTGACTTATGTCCAAACAGGTGAATTCAGTGCTTAATTTGGTGCTGCATGGTCTGCTCAGAGATTCTCGTTTCTAATGTTACTGGAAATTCTTGGCAGCTGGACTGGGGTTTTGCTCCATACGTTCTACTAGGCAAGAAAACACTGACAAAAGTAGACGTATGGATCTTGGGTGTAAGAGTCATGTGTGAAGACACGGCTGGAAACTCCTATGAAGAGGCTGGATTTCCCTGTTCTACCTGCAGCAAGTAGCAGCCTGCTGCTGTTTTGCATCAATTTTGTCAGCTTAATCCCCTTTTCTTTGGCCTCCTTCACTTTGGGGGGGAAGAGAGAAACTGTTCCTGCCTCAGAGAATATTTGCCATGAGATAGTTTGCTATAAAGGTTCTAGGCCGCTCATTGTACTACTTAGTAATATCTGAGAATCAATCATTCTGCTCTCCTTCCATCACCATAAGTATAGTCCTAATTGAATATAAACTTGGTTTTTCACTGTCAATAAACAATGAGTTCAAGAAGTTCTATATAATGTAGTTGTACTGTAACTTTTGGGAATACTTTGGTCACACTCTGTGTAAACAAGCAGGGTAAACCCTACTTCTCTACGGCTCTATCCCTTGTCTACCTTCCTGTTGGCAGATAGAATGAAAAAGCCCTGATCAAAAATACTAAAAAACTATGATGTGTTGCAGACTACAAGTCATCTCCTTACTGAAACATTTTTTCTGTTTTAGTAGGCAGATAGTCACACTAAAACGTGTCAATTCAGAATATCAGATAAAATCAGATGTGGTATTGCATTTCTGGTTTCAGAATGGGGCTTGTGGCTAGAGATTTTACAGCCCACACACAGGAGCTGCTTGCACACCCTGACTGCGATGCTTTAGCACAGCTAAACGCTGCATGATACTTCCTGTTTTGCAGATTGAACATCTCTTCTCCCAGACATGTACTTCTACTGGAATGAAAGTGCTAAACCAGCAACAAAGCACTCCTGCTCTCTGCTCCCTTAACTTTGAGAGTGAAATCTTCAGACTTGGAGGGGGGCAAACAAGTGTTATCGTGTGCTGCTTTCTGATCCTAACTGCCAACTTATTATTAACACTTAATGATAATTTGATGGGTCTGAGCCAGTTGTCTGGAGAGGCCATCACTGCTGTATTGCCCCTATTGTTCCTTGTAACAGCGTGCAGCTGCAGACAGGTGAACTCCTGTGGTGCTTCTCCAACTTTGCTGGCCAGCGTGGAGAAGTTCTTGCTCAGAGATCAACTAGAAATGAGCGTGATTACTTAAAGTCAAATGTCACTTACTTATGGGTCACATAAGTCCAGAAATAAAGTTAATTTGTTTAGCACCTTAGAAAAAAAGGCTCTATTTTAACTACGAGAATCTTGAATGATCAAACAACCCGGATCCCTAAAGGACCAGAACCTTCAAACCAAGAAGGTTCTGAAAATACTCCGAATCACAAGATTAAAATTGAAAATTAAAAGTGAATTTGCTTGTGTTCTACGTTAGATTTGACTCTAGAAGGAACAACTGAATAAAGTGCTAATTACACTAAATAAGCATTATTTTTAGAATTATTTCAGCTTTTCTAAAGCATGCTGTAATCAGGCTTTACTTAGAAGTAATCAGAGCAGTCCACTTAGCACTATGAGTGAAGTCACTGAAAGCAAATTACCTATATTTTTTAAAACAACGTGAAGCTTAGCTGCCAAAATACAGTCTAATGTGCAAAATCTGGGAGGTCTTGAGAAGACAGACATGATGAAGACCAAGCATACGTACCAATGCAAAAGGGCACAAAGCACTTCTAGGGTTTGGCTAATGGTGCTTTTAGTTACAGTATGAGACATACTTTGTCCTCACTTCTTCCAAGTAAGCAGGCAATTAAGACGTAAGTTAAAATGTAGCAAGACTCTCTTGCATTTATAATATGCAGAAATCACTCCGGGAATGTCAATTTTTTCATGTTTCATCTAACAAGCTGTCTTTGTTCCCTTGGATTTCTCCACATGTTCCTGTTAGTTTTCGGGACCTTGAATACATTGCAGGGGGGCTACATACAGCTATAAGTTAAACGTTTCCTATTTTGAAATGTTTAAACAGTTCTGAAGGGACTTCTACAACCTGAAGGTCTCCTGACACAAAAAGGAAAATAAAGGATTGCTTTATGCAGTGCATTTGTAGACATAGCTCTATTTAGTAAACTGACTCTTAGTACTAGAGAACTTGACACAAATGGCATGAATTTCAACTTCACATCTTGACTATGAGAAGTTCTAGCTTTCTTTAGAGTGTGTTGCAGGTGAAGTGACCAATTTGAGCGGTGCCATAGAAATTCATATTTTCCATCCACCTTACCTTAATTTCCTCAAGGTATGTTGCAAGTCTCACAGATAATCTTGAGTAGCTCTGACCGAGAGCCCATCCTCTGTCCAGTTTCCTCACTTTGCTGGAAAACGTGGTGTCGAGCCTGCAAGGCAGAACAGGGAATGTGAGGCTGCCGTCCCCTCAGCTATGTGAGGCTCAGAGGTGAGCACAGTGGTGTGCCCAGGTACTTGTTTGTACTGCAGTGCCTGCACACCTCCCACTTGCTGCTTCTTAAAGTGGCACAATCCTTTTGAAAACAAGGGTGAAGCAGTTTTGTTTGACCACAGTTTGCTCAGGACCAATAAAACTACAGTCTGCTCTTCACATGTGCTCACACTGCTCTGGCAGGCAATCACTGAGAGATAATAACTGGTAGTTCCGTTGTATCAGGAAACCACTTAGGTTTTCTCTGTGAAAATCATCTTATTTACTTAGAAATCAATATATTGTCATAATAACCAGTCAAAAGCTGGGTTATAAACTGAAGAACACATGCAGCCTTTAGGATATAAAGGCTGTCATCCCTAAGGTTATCCAGACTTAAAATCTTCTTCACGCACCTAACCTCCAACAATTTAGTTTGGTTCAACGCTTGCTATTTACAATCTTATTGTTATTTTAATATTCGAAAGATTGAGGCTGCAGAATCTACTGCAGGAAGTAGAAAAGCACATCTGTAATGCTATAATGTAACAGAAAATGCAGCAGTGACAACAGAAAAGCAAAGTCCTGGGTTGCAGCAAGTAAGGAGTTACTCAAATGTCATAGCTATGGGCTCAGAAGTAAAGGAAAGAATTTGCTTACCTTTGGAAGGTCTCAGGTACACAGGGATCTGCAGCAAAATACCCTCACCTCCACTGCCAATTCTTAAATAAGGTGTGGGAAGGGGTGGCTCCTGGCTCCACCTCTTCTGGTCACTGAGCTGCACTGTGTGCACCTGAGCTCCCCTGGGTTGGCCCTGCCTTCCCACCAGGTGCTCCATCACTGCTTCAAGCTGTGACTTAGCATTTCCAATACACATGTGCAAACCCTTTCAGAGGTTTTACTAAGCAGTTCTGGCTCTGCTACATAATACGGTGGAGGTGGTGTTGCACAGTCCCTATGAATCATTCTCATGTTACCAGGTGAGATGATGGACAGACTGCAGCATGGGCTAGGAACCCTCTGGTGCAGACACTCAAGCTATTTTGTCCAAAGAAGCATGTGTTTGCACCTACTGAGACCAAAGTTCAGACTTCAAGCATGTCCCTTCAGACCTAAAAGTCACTTGACAATAGTTTTGGTTTTTTTTTCTAAATCTTATCAAATACGCTATCTTATGGGAAAAAGTGACTGTTAGGAATAGTTCTTCATCTCATAGATATTTTTATAGAAATGAAAACAATTTTGACCAGTTTTTTTGTTTTTTTTTTGGGGGGGGGGAGAAGGGGGAGATGGGGGAGTAATTGTTTTTCACTGTACAAAGGGAGAATAAGTCAGTAAGATTTTCTTCCCCAAAAGTTATAACTTATCTCCCTATTTTATGTTACTTCATTGACTTTGTAAAAACAAAGTCCCTTCTTTTGTTTCTTTTCATGAAATCTTCTTATACAGTTTATCTCTCAAGATTAACAACATCTCAGTGGGCATCAGCCTAGTGAAGGTGCGATTACTATTACCTTTGGAAGTGGTGCTCTTCATTGGCTGAAAAATTTGAGCTGCATCAGAGCGTTCAGGAAGCTGGGTGGTGTCAGTGTATACCCATAACACTGTTACAGTCCCTTTAGGTGCAGCTAGCGTTCAAGGTTAGAATCCAAGTGGATTAGGCCTTTAAAATAAGTTCATAAAGGTTTCAGAAAATAAACACTGAAGTAATTATTAATGACACTGTTGCCAGCCTTGGGTACTCCTGTCTTTTTACAGTTATGGTGATGCTGTGTTGCTCTCTCATTCAGATTCTAAAAATAAAAGAGGTGTCCAAATGCCTGACTGAACTGGCCAAGATCAGTCAGTACCTTCTCAGGCCAAGGCTACTGCTTCCAGACTTGCCTACTTTTGGCAGGGTTGCAGAAGTAAAGTGAGGAAGGCTGAGAAATATTTGTTTCACTTGAAATTTTAGGTCCTCATCTAGTAACATGAGGAGTTAGTGACCAGACAGGGTTAGCATTCATATCTGTGAAGTAACACACAAAGTCCTTTGCCCACCTCATTGGAAATCCACAGGGGAAATGCGCCCCAACAGTGAGTGGCTGGCAAATATTTCTGCTATGGCATGTGTTCATAGACTTATGCTGAAGACACTTTTTTTCACATCATTGCAATTTGTTCTGATTTTGAGATGATTCTGTAACCCCTAGAGATGAGCAGGAAGATAGCAAATCTCAAGTTTCCAGGATAAAAACTTACCATGGTTTTCAGAGTTTGGAGGGTTCAACTTTGTTCTCAAGCTGACATTAATTGCTGTGAGCTTCTGAACTGTCTTGGAATACGATGAGTGGAAAACTACTGCATGAGTGATGTCTGTGTTCTGATTTCCTTGTGCTGGTGGCAGATAGTTTCACAACAGGAGTCATGCAAGGCTGAAGACTGTGGGCGGATGAGCTGATGAGTGAAGACAGATACTGGAAAGCTGTAAAACATTTGTGAGTAAGAAAGAGTAACAATACAGTTTGAAAGCAAAAGAGTGCCCATGGATTCTTGATTCCCCATTTGTCCTCTGCACGCCTGCTTCAAACTGGGTTCAACATAGCAGTCTGTTTAGACCTTACACTACAGGATTCAGTGCTTTACATTTTGGCTGTAGTATCCAGAAACAAGGTGCTGATCAGCAGCTTGTGCATCTCATCACATGTCTAACAGATGCATTTTGCAAACTGAGGATTTTGTTTATAAAACATTTCTTTTTATACATTTGGATAACTTTACCATTCCAGGAATGGTAAAATGGTTGTATGCATTTCTGTGGTGAAAAATCTGAATATTACCAGAGTGAATAATTACATACTTTGCAGAAGTACCAAACTGTTGAAGCAGGCAGGTGTGTTGGTGTAACATTAATCCTTAAGCATTAATCAGTCTACGTAAATACTTTTAAGATAAAGTACCTAGTTTGCAGAGAATAGCAACAAGAGTGGTTCACAGGCCATGACAGCTAGCAAGGAGCTGAATGGAGGCCAGGGGCATCTATGCCTTTCCATAGAGCAGATGGTGAGATTGTGTACTCAAAACATTTGAGTAATTGAATTTAAGCCAGCTCAGGAATGTCATGCACAGCCAGTTGCTGCTCTGGAATTACAGTGATGTGCGTAGCCAAGAAGCTGCAAGCAGCCCCCTCTCCAGCCCCTGTGTTTGCACCAGCTGTGGTCTTGCCTTCCTTCCCTGCTTACCATTGTATGTTATCTGTTTGGTCTCCCATCACCCAGAGGGTAGGAGGAGCTGGTCTGGCTCTAGGGCTGTAAGTTTCCTTGCTCAGCTCCCTCTAAACAATCTGGGGCTAACAAAGCTCATGTGAGTGGGTGCAGCTGATATCGAGGCATTAGATGCAGTGTGTATGGAAGCATGTTGAAATGATTGGCCAGCCCTTACCCCATGGTTTGCAGAGCTTGTGCAGAGTCTATGTAATCCAAGCTATGCTGGAGTCAACTACTCAACAGGAAGAAAAAGAACTCATAAACGTATCTGGGTCTGACTGTTGCACTGCTCAACTCTGCAAGTGGGAATGCCCAGCTTTGGTAGCTGATTGAACCCCTTTAATAAATGTTTAGAAAGCTCTGTCTTAAAAAAATCTTTAGCGAGGGTGAACTCTGAGTGGCTTCTGCAAGGAGCACAGAATACGGGATTTTTCCAAGATACATGTGTCTACCAAGCTTATCCCTTGGGAAACCTCAGTCAAGTTTTGTGAAGACTTGAAATTGCCAGTTATGCCTAGAAATCAGCTGGGGTTATCTGAATTGCTCTACCTCTTAGCTGAAATAAATTGATCTTGCCATGGCTCTGTTGTTCACACCAGGATCAGTTCCCATGTGTGGCACCTTGATCTTTTTGTCCTACTAATGCTTTAAGTTAGGAAAGGGTTTAGGAGTTGCCAGAGGCACTGAGGCCAGATGGCTTCAGGCCACCTCTTCAGATATATGAAGGTTACAGACCTGATGTCTCTAAAACTTTCCCATGGGAAATGTAAGGGGAGAGAGAACCCCTAGAGCTCCCTGCCATGTGTCATCCTAGCAGCACTGCTTATTTGTTCTTTCAGGGAATGTGTTACGGGTGAAGAAGGGCAGAGAAAAAGCAGGCTGAGCAACAGCTGTGGTAGCAGCGATGTCTGTATGGGTAGGTTTGGTGAGGGAAATTTGGGAACTGAGGAGACCAGAATACAACTTTAAGGCTCATAGCTACACAGGACTATAGAAAGCTTTCCTGATTGCAAGTCGCTTCAGGAAATCTACTCTTTTCTCTTGAGAAGTCAGTAGGTTAAGAGAATATAGGAATCCTATCAAGAAAGTTAGGGGACAATCAATAACAGATCAGACAAAATGGTCACTGCTCTCATATTAAGTAATGGCTTATAATTCTATGGTTGATATTTATTCAAAAACCAAATCAGACTGAAATGAGTGACTTACATTTTTATATGCTATGTTGAGTTCACTAGCTACAAATGAAGAAACAAGGGAAATAAAAGACTATTCCATGTACCCTACCAGACAGGAAGAAGCACTAAAACTGGCAGACAACAAGGCGTTTCTGATTGCACTTTTTGTCATTCCAAGTGCCATCAGTGTACATCTCCACACACTCCTCTTCCCCTTTGCCAGAAGGCTCATGTGAATACCAGTTGGTATAGCTCAGGTCAGCACCATACAGGAATTGGAATTTGCCTGGGATTAGAGATTCCTTTATTCCCAGGTAGGCGTACCTATTAAACTGCTTCACGAAGTGCAGAATGGCAGCGTTCTCATCTGCGTTCCTTGGAGATGCAATGCACCCACCAGCCTCCTGGCACATTTTCACAGTAGCATAGAAATCAGCTGTTTTCCCATTGGTAGCGAATATTTTTTGTCCAGATATTGTTATCTTCCCTTGTAAGCGAAGGACTGCAAGATCAGGTAGAAGTTGTTAATTTGTATGGATTGTTTTGTAGTCAACTTGTTGCCAATTGTAATTCCTACTATTATCACTTCAGATTAAATGACTTCAGATTAAATCCAGAAATAACTAATGGAGATGAAAACGTAAAATTTAAGATTAAAAATAGAGAATAGAGACAACCCCCAAAAGCTGGAATAAATCTGAAAAGATGAGGGGAGGGGGAAAAAAGTAAGAAACAACTATATATGGATTTACAAAGGTGGATAGTGATAGGACAAGGGGGAACGGTTTTAAACTGAGGCAGGGGAGGTTTAGGTTGGATATTAGGAGGAAGTTTTTCACCCAGAGGGTGGTGAGGCTCTGGAACAGGTTGCCCAAGGAGGTTGTGGATGCCCCATCCCTGGAGGCATTCAAGGCCAGGCTGGATGTGGCTCTGGGCAGCCTGGTCTGCTGGTTGGCGACCCTGCACATAGCAGGGGGCTGAAACCAGATGATCATTGTGGTCCTTTTCAACCCAAGCCATTCTATGATTCTATGATAGAGACAATGAAATAGGAGAAGCACAAGAAGGTGGAGAAAGAGGGAATGAAAAGAGGAATTTTCCATTAAGATAAAGTACTCTATTAATCCCTTTTATTCTAGTTCTGTACTGTATAAAGCCTCTGAGATGACCTGCAGAATATATGGATATTCGTCAGTCCTCAAGTGAGTAGAAACTTATATACAATCAGATTGTGAATACTTTGAGACGTTTTTAGTCTTCAGTTAGTTAGCGGCATAAGAAATGGTCAGGGAGCAATTTTGCATAAGTCTGGTTCTGATAAGCTTGACTTATTTGCACTCAAACTTCAGAATTGTTACCTACAGAGAGCAACATGCTCTTCTTCCCCCAGTCTGTAAGTTATAACCCTTCTGTGTATCAGCAAGCAACATAAAGGGAATGCGATGAAAACTGGAAAATCTACTTTTTTTCTTAGAAGACATTTCATCCTTCATCTTCTTTACATTCCTCATTCCAGCTACAGTAAAAAGTAGATTTAGATAATTACCTCCTTCGAGTTTTGAAATCCGATCTTTTAATTGAAGGACGGTATCTTCCATTTCATTACCAGTAACTGATGGGGAACCTATAAACAAAACCAGCTGTTAGCAATTTGGGTTGCATTTTAAATCTTGGCTTTTAAGATAAAGCAGAGGTAACTGTGTGAAATTAATGTGAACTTTAAAAGCTTGTTTTACCTCTGTTGGATTACTGCTGTAAACAAGAGATCTTTTCACACACTGAGCTTTCTAAGGATAAGGAATATATTTGTGGTAACTTCTTGCCAGAGCAGTGGTAGTTATGGAAAAACTTTAATGAATGGACTAGGGTAGACTTCAAGTCTTGAGGCAGCCCAGACAGAAGACTAGCAATTGCACAGTAAGTTTATTTCATTTTAAATGAAATTTTAAAATGTGCATTTCCCCACAGCTGCAACCTAACACCTGGCAACAAGCTTCTTGCGCCTTGTATTGTGGGAAACTATACCTTTTCTTTACATGAGCTGAGTGGGAGAGATTTAAACATCTCATTTCATACAGGAAATTTATGAAGATCTCATTATTTCCTACCAAGCAGAACCACGTCTTATCATACAGCATAGCACTGGGTTTATGAAGCATAAAGGTGGATCACAACAGTATGTGTAGATAGAAATGGCACTGGTAACTTCAGGCACCTGGTAAATAAGCTTGAGATATCCCGTTTTCTGCTCTGAAACCGGGCATTGGAAAAAATTGTTCTGGTTTTCCTTGAGCGTAGCAGGGGAACAGAAGAAGTATCAGTCCCAAGATTTTGTGGAATAACTCTGGTGATGGCATTATTTAAAGCCAAGTATAAAACAATCAGTTTTGTTCTCCAGTGTAGAGCCCTGTTTAAACAAACAAACAAACAAACAAACAAAAAAAAAAAACAGGAGAAAAGAAGAAATACTGTATTTTGCTATTTTGGTTTGAAATTTCTTCTATCAGATGGTGATATGAATGCCACTGGCAGTTGCAAAGTTACAGTACTTAGGAACTTATGGAAAAAAAAAAAACACCCCAAACTTCCCCATTCCCATCCCATTTTTATACAGCATATACCCTTGTATACAAATTTTCTCATGGGAAAAGCTGTAGTTCTAGTGTTAGTTTTACAGAGGAGCAACAGGTTCATCTGCTTCAATAAGAGAAAGGGTAAGGTGAACAAAGACACGTGGTCTTCGTCAATTTGCTTAAGAGGGAAACAATTATTAACATCCATCTGTTAAAATATCTTCACCTTAGGTGACATCTTCAGTCACAGTATGCTAAAATTTTAATAAAAACGCTGACACAAAAACTCTAAAACGGAGAAGCTTGTGAGCAATTTACAACAATCTAATGGAAATCTCATTAAAGATGTTCAACTTACCTGGTAGCTCCAATATGAAATAGGGAGGGCTTATTAAAATGGTCTAATTTATAGGGCAGGTAACTTGAGATTCATCTTCTTATCTATGGCAAATACCAAGAGCACGTAATGTGATACAAATTTGCATATGAATAGAAATGTCATTAACTTAAATGATAGGAGTTTGTTTTCTTCAAGAGCTGAACACAAAGTGTGAGGAAAATATTTGAGGGTACTTTTCTAACTTGTAGAAACATTTTCACATCTTAAAAAAAAAAAAGGGGGGGGGGGGAAACTCGGAACAAAACAAAACAATTTCTCAATACTTATTTGAAATACCTGATGCATCCAGAGAATTGCTCTGTAAATGTCAAATTGTAAATATCAGTGAAGATAAGCTAAAATCCAGAGTTAATCTGAAATGTAATATGTACCAGGAACATCCCTACAGTGCTGTCGCTTTCATTATCACTGATAAAGAACTCAGTCTGTGATAACTAAACTATTGTACCGTAACAGAATCTAGATAGCAGCATAGCCCCGAAGTGAGAAAACAGTGCTACATCCGCAGCTTATGTAGAAGTAACAGAACAGGATATTCCAGGGGAAGCTTATGTTTCATAAATAACAATTCTACTGTTCTATGTAAGTAACACAGTTTTATTCAACGGTATAGTGGCCTTTTAGTGAAGGTAAAAGCAGATCTGTGTCATCCTGTAATTGTAGAGGCCTCGGAGCGTGGGGCACTGCTGAAATGGAAGATGTTGCCATGCATTTCTAAGTTACTCTCAGCTGAGTTTCTGAGTTTCAAAACGGGGACTTTTGGGAAGAGATTTCAAGCTGTGGTCAAGTTCTTTGTGTATTAGGCCAGCATCCCTAGCATCTAAGGCAGTTGAGGGGGAAATGTCCATACTGGTCTGAGATGCTGCTGTGTTAAAGCAAGTCTACATCCCTTCCATAGGTCTGCTGTACCCTGCATGTTCACACTTCACTCAGCTGAGTTTGAGTCTTCTGTCAGTGGTGTCATGCCCTCAGAAACTAGATTAATTCCCCCACAGCAGTGTTTACTGAGTGTTCTGAGAAAGGCGCTAGTCCTGTGAAAAATAAATAGGCTGTGCCAGTTGTACGTGCCCCGGTAGAAGAGAGCCAGTTTAAATTTGCATGACTAATCTTTGCTTAAATTTTGTCGTCAGATTTTACAGTTCCTATATTTTGAGTGTTTGACTTAGTCCTCTTAACATTCTTTTGGCTGAGGTTTTCTGGTTGTTTCATGAAACAAACAGAAACTGAGGCAATTACCAGGTGAACTTAAGCAAAGGTCACTAGCATTTGCATCCATGGTGAGATCATGAATGAGAGAAGCTTGAGAACTTCAACCACATGTGCGAGAAACCAGAGAAACCAAAGGTCAGTCAGGTGTTAAAAGAAGGTGAGGCTCATATTGGTGAATTTCATATTCTGACTGATGGTCTGGGAAACGTGGGGGGAGACAGAAGTTTTCTGGTACACTTTGGCCTGGTAACTGATGTGAATCTGATAAATGGCAAACCTTTCTTCTCTTGCTTTTCACCAGCATGTTGGTAAGGAGAAATAAGTTAAAGTATTTCCACAATACTTGCATTTTTACTACACTGTTTATGCTCAATTAGACTAATGTTCTGTACAACTATGATAACTTGTAAAATTTTTCTGATCTTGCTTTGAGCAGCATGTAACAGAAACTCCTTGAGACTGAGGAATATAGACCTAACAGAGAACAAACAGTTCTAGAACACTGGAAAATTTTATTCAGCATTTCTGCATTTATCATTATAGCTACAGTGCTAGTGAAGCAAATCAAGATGACTAAGAGTTGGTTCAGTGTACTTAGCTACAATGTAAGTAGGTAAATGTCAAACATGTTGAAGACAGAAGTCTGTCAATGCATCTTTCTTAGCTGATTTGAGGAATATAGACATTAGAGTTGAATTTCAGTTTATGAAAGTGGGTGTGTGTTCCTTCCACCAGCCTGTTAGCCTTTCCTCTATACACTTAACCTCCTGAAAGTTTTATATATTTTTCCTTCATGGTGATTTTCATACCACAGGTAACCTTAAAAATTCTTCCTCCTTATTGTCTTGGCTTGTATTTAAATGACCCCAAGCCCATTTATATTTTCTGTTTACACAGCTTTTGTGCTGTTCTGCTGCTACTTCCATCCTACTTCAATACCACCTTGTCCCTTGATTTCTGTATTTCCTCTCTCTGTGTAGCATTCAACATCCTTGTCAGACTGTCTTCAACAGCTCCATTATACCAGGGAACATAGGGAAGAGCAGAGAGCACGTGGGACCTAGTGTTTCTCCTCTCAATTCTGATGTCTAGCAGCACTTCTGAGAGAATGGAGGCTGTTCTTGCTGAGCTTTGAAATCAGGAAGCAAAAAATACAGCAAGGTATAGACAACTGGGAAGGCAACCTTCAACCTAGTGTTTTTTTGACTTTATCAGCAGCATTAAAACTTAAATATATTTTAACTTCATACACTGTGATCTGTGCTCATAATTACAAAAAAAAAAAAAAATAAATAAAAAATAAAAATAAAAACCTTGTTTATGAATTAGATGAAACTGTTTTTCTGTATATTCTTCATTTGTCCTTGGTTGTCTATAAGCAAAAGGTCAGTTGTTCATTGCAGTCCTTGTGACTATAATTACAATCACTGAAACTTCCTCAAGTGCTTAGGTGCTCTTGCAGCACAGCCTCCTATTTCCTGAGCCACAGCAGGAGGGGTGAGTGAAAGCTACATTCAGGTTTCATCTGGCACCATACCTGGCCTACCACCCTTGAGCCAAACTCCACCAAACTCTGGTTTCCTAACAGGCACTTCAACTCAAGTCCAATCCCATTAACATCCCAATCCCGTAACTACTCTAATTTCCAAGCATCCTGTATTGATCACTCTTTAAATCTAGGTCTGTTTGTATAACTGTAGGCTAATACAATTTTAAATAGTGGACTTCAACATGACATTTACTTACAATCTGACTCTCGTCAAGATCCAGATAAACACATCTGTTTTACCATTACACAATACTCTCAATAACATTGTTTTCCTCTAGCTCATGAGAGTTCTAGAAGGACTATCAGTCTTTCCAACTCATTTCAGTGTGGTTTCAAAACCAGCAAACAAATATCCCTGGTGGCAAATATTTCTTCTCCCTCTTTCACTTACTGTTCTGTTAAATAAAAACTGCAAATAAACGTGAAGTGTATGATTAACCTTAAGCTTACCTTGCACTTGCAGTATTGGTAGGACTTCTTGGCATCAGGGCAACGGTGTTTTTTCACCTCCTGGAAAAGAACAGAGCAATATTGTAATTAATCTTCCTGAAGTCTGGCTTCAGTATTGAAAATAAAAACTAAAAGGAGGCATTGGTCACAGTTTTTACATTATAAAGTAGCCCTGACACCCTAGGTCACATCCAGTCACTTAGTATGTTCACACAAGTTTGAACTGAACCTCAGTTTTCTGATGAACCATGGGTCTTGTTTTCATCCTCCCGCCCCAACCACCTTTTTTTTTTTCCCACAAAAATCAGGAATACACTGAAAGATACCTATTTGATGTAAACTGAAGTCAGTTTCTTTATATGTGAGAGGGATTGGTGCACGGGGAGGGAGGAGTGATTTTTGAGTGCTCAAAATTGGTAACAGTATTTCTAAGATAAAGCATCCAATTAAATCACGCAGTTATAAAAGAAGATATTGCTCTAGGCTGGAAATTACCTCAGAGGTAGATAGTATAAGATTTTACATGTTAAGGATTTTAATAAGGACCTTATATAGTCATCACATATACATTGGTATGATGGGAATAAATAATGGTCTAACAAATAGAACACTCTGAAGTTAGCGAGACATCTATGCAACAAACATGCTAATTTGTTTCAAATAATAAATCAGCAGGTCAGTAGAGTGATTTTTTTTTTTTAGCCTTCTCCAACATGGTGGTGTTTTATGATGTTTGATCATCTCCCCATAACAAAGAAGCTGTATGCTTGAAAGACAAAAATTCCAAACAAGGTTTACTTAGTAAAATATCACTAACTAAAATATCGATAATTAAAATTTTAAAGGTAGAGGTAGATTTAAGTAAACCTTCAAATTTTTTGTAAGACATAGAAAAAATAAAAACTATTACTTCCGCTCCACATTTTCTCAAGGTAACCTGACAGAATCTTTTTCATGGTATGATCTGTTCCCTTCCCATTTGAAATTTTTGCCAAAATTTTTATTGTCATTACAGGTCTCCAAGAATGCTATTTTGTAAAGCGTGTTCACATTTTAAAATCTATCCAGCATGTTGCTGAGTGTATTTTTCCCATTTTCACATCCATTCTCAGATCACTGGAGTTCTGTGTGTGGTCCTGATGAAAATTATCCCCCCTTTTCCACATCATAGAACCATAGAATGTCCCAAGTTGGAAGTGACCCATAAAGACGGTCATGGAGTCCAACTCTAGTTCCACACAGGACCACCCAAAAGTCAGATTATGTCTGAGAGAGTTACCTGGGCATTTCTTGAACAGCAGCTTCCGCAGCCATGCCTACTGCCCTGGGGAGCCTGTCCCATGCCCACCACCTCTTAGTGTCCTGCCTATCTTTTTTGAAGAGCCTTTAACTGTCCATCACAGCACACCAGCCACAATATCCTTCCCACCAGATTAAGCTTGTGCTGATGTCTGAACATCCTAAAGCTTTCCTATTCAACAGAGCATCAAATGTCCACATTGGACAGACCCCATCCCTTTCACAGCAAGGATAGGGCAGGGGAAACGCTGCCGCCCCAAGTCAAGTCCAGGTTCATATAGGCTCCCTTCACAGAGTTAGTTGTGGGGAAAGAAGAAAAGATAAAGTAAAAGGTATTATGCATGTGATTTAATTCCAGTACTATCTTTTCTCCCCCAGGTTGTTTTACAGTGAGCCCAGGATGAACCCACGACTTCCCTACTGTAGGGTAAGCATATGAGGATTTGCTACTTCTATCCTTTTTTGAGTTCTTACCGTCCCAGCCTGCTACTGAAACTGAGAGGCAGGAAAAGCACTTTCTGAAAAAATCCTTCTTGATACTAGGAGATTTGAATCGTGGTCTTTGTGGTTTATTGGCATGACATCAGTAGAGATATAGTTTGTGTTTGAACTGATTGAACTTCTACCTGCTCCCCTCAAATAGTATATGCTTAGTCAGTTATGTGGGAGATGACAACTGGCCTTTTAACACAACAATGGTCATAATTTTATGAGAGAATGTGATGTTTTAGGAAAAAAATGCAATTTTAGTCTCTTACATACCTTTTTATATGTTTATAAATCAAAGGCAATGTTTATCAGTGTTTTACAGAGAATGGCTTCTGATTTAATTAAGAAAATTAATTGAACCAGTACTGTTAGTATTTTTATAAAGATGGGTAAATATGGATGCTTAATGCACGCTTCACTGTGACACACGTCACCTAAGGCTTTCTAGGAGAGCCTTATTGTTATAGGAGATACTCAAGTCCAAAGACCATCCTTGGTCCAGTGAAATCTATTCATGACCTGTAAGACTATTTATGAAATACGTGAAAATGTTTTCAGTATGTTTTCACAGTGTTTTCAATCAAAGGTAATTTTATCTTCAGGTTTTTTCCAATATCCAAATCCTATCCTTGGAATTTTCCTCTAATTTTCATGTAGACCTACTGGAGAGGGACAGTCTGTTGTGACCGATGAATTCTGAGCTTTCAGCTCTCCAAAAAGAGAGACAAGTACATCAGATTACGCACATTTTAATTAAGTAAGTTAATCACCTTCTACATTTGGCATTTTCTTAAGCATAAAAATATATAGTAATATGATTCATTTTAGATTTTGTGACATTGAATAATTGCAGAAATTGCATCAGTCTGAATGAAACAGGGTATTTCATGGTCTCCATGTTCGTTCTCAGGTGCTTGAAAGGTCATTCTCTAATATTCACAGATTGTGAGGCGGTACAGGTTGCATTTTCTGTCTTTCCACTTTCCGTCAGTGTACATCTCTACACATTTTTCTGTCCCTTTGCCATTAGGCTCATATTGTTGCCAGTTGGTATAATTCAGAGGTTGGCCATTCATGTACTTAAATTGACCTGCAGTGTCACTCTCTTTAATACCCAAGTAAGCGTATCGGTTATACTGTTTCACAATGCCCATAATAGCTTTATTCTCCTCCTCATTCATGGGAGTTGCAAGAGTTCCTCCAGTCTCTTCACAGGATTCTAGGGCAGATGAAAAATTGACTTCCTTTCCATTGCTGGCAAATATTTTCTCTCCTACTTTTGTTATTTTCCCATTCAGAGCAAGCACTGAAACATGAAAAAAAAAGTTTGCTCACTTTCTTATTTCTTGCAGCATATTGATGAGAAAGCAGAGAAATAAAGAGGCGTAGAGAAAATTTTGTGTACTCAGTACACAAAACTTTTCCATGACCTACAATGATTTCATTGCTGGTAGATAGAAACAAAAGCAGTGGATGACAAGGGTGAAGAGTTTCCGTGATCTGTGTGGAAATTGCAATGCCATGCAGATTTTTAGGAAATAGGAATAAAATTTGAATAAATGTATTCAATGCTCCTGTGAGAAGTCTGCATTTTTCTCTCCCACTAAGCAAATACCTTTCTTTAATATTCCTTTTCTCATATGCCTAAGTACATCTTGCCTCACAATTCAAAAATGCAGAACATTGTCAAGTGCAAAGCAACACTTCAGGCTGTCTTACAGACAAGCTTTGTGCTGCTTACTGGACATGTAATTGTACTGGGCATTACTAGAGCATCTAAGAAAATCCAATTTATTCTTAATAGTCCTAATAGGTAACCAATTGCACAATTTCTTTTTTTTAAGATGGTGTAGACAGACTACATCTTATTCTACACTGTCAGTAATAGGAATAAGAAACCTAATTTACCTTTAAAGGTTTGGGTCTACTTGACCTAAGGCCAAAACTTAGTAGCACTACAGGAAATGAGTACAAGCTCTACAACATTCCTAGGACACCTCAGTGATGTTTCACAAGAAGTTCTACTTTTGGAATGTAGTTCTGTTTTTTCAAGCGTGATTTCTTTTCTACAAGTCTTGATTCTGTAATTGATTTTGCCCATTGCACTGGAAATGATTGAGAGCTAAAAAATTAAAAATGAAAAAGCTACCTCCTTCAAGCTGGAAAAGTCGTTGTCTTAGATTCAGTAAAACATTGCGGAGTTCATCATCAAAAGAAGTAGATAGATCTAAACAGGTGAAAATAGAAGTTACACAATCAGGAAAAGGTAGGTTCTGGTTATAAAAATCACAACCCCCTGCCACATGCAGGGCCACCAACCTCCCCATTTAATATCAGACCAGGCTGCCCCGGGCCCCATCCAACTTGGCTTTGAACACCTCCAGGGATGGACGGGGCATCCACAGCTTCTCTGGGCAGCTGTTCCAGCACCTCACCACTCTCATAGTAAAGAAATACCCCCTGACAACCAACCTAAATCTTCCCTCCCTCAACTTCAAACCATTTCCCCTTGTCCTGCTGTTATCTACCCTTTCATAGAGTTGACTCCCCTCCTGTTTGTAGGCTCCTTTTAGGTCCTGAAAGGCTGCAGTGAGGTCATCCCACAGCCGAAATCTCATGTATCAATGTATCTCACTGGATAAAACTAACTTTTTTTTCAAAACTAACCAGTGTATAATGTATTTTAACTACAACCCAGGGTAAAACAAATATTTTTAAAATATTTTGTCACTTTCTGACTAATCTGTACCAAAATGAACAAAGAAAACCCCACAGCCCTCGGAAAAGCTCAGAAATTTACTTATACACAGAAAAAGCCTATTAAAAACTATAAAAGAAAAAAAATTTTTTATAGCTTGGAGTTTATGTCATGTCTATAAGAGTGTAAAGGTCCTAAGATAAAATATTTTACCATAGCTTTGCAAAGAAGACTTGTTTCATTCTCATAATTTTTACTGAACTGGCACAATGGCTATTTTTGAGAGGTTCTATTTCCTCTGGCGTCAAGCAAAATTTAGATTATAATTTTATTTTTATGTTGCTGAACGGATGCTTTATGTCTTTATTCCTTATTTTAAGGGAAACTAAACACTGATACAGGAGAGTTTCCAGGTAGATGGTTCAAAATGCACTGGATGCTTAAGATGGGGACTGACTGTAAAGGTAGATGTTTATTTATTTCATGCATATTTCCACCAGTAACAATGATCCTAAACATACTAAGAAATTACTGGGGTGCTTTTGTGATCGTGTTACCATTTGTGAAAAATAACACATTTGACTCGAAAAAGCAGTCACTTTCCTGACAAAATGTTATATAGAGATCAGCCTCTTTCACCTAGTGCTGCAAACCTGCTGTTGACTCCTTTCACTCCATTCTTACCTTGCTGTCTTTGTAACCACTGACGTTCAGTAAGTTTCTCTTTTCTGTAAGGCTGCAGTAGACCTCCTAAATATCTACTGAGACCTGGATAAGAGGAGCATAATTTTATTTCTAAGAGGTAAACGTCTGGTGATGTTCAGCAAACAACAGGACTTGTATCTAACAAATTGCAGTTTGAGATTATGAATAACTTTTTTTTATTGCTTTCAGCCTAGTAATGGACCTGAAATACAATTACACAATGGAAATTATATTCCTCAGAAAGATACTTTTCTGTGTATCATTTTTGAATGCTGCAGAAGAATACTAGGCACATTTTTGTTACATTTGTAAATACCTACTAGAATAGTATTTTATTCAAACAAAAAATCTTTTGCTGTAGAAGAAGCAATTCCTTTTGGAAAGACAACAGAAAAGCACTATATGTATATATGTATTATTTTTCTATGATTAAACTATGCTTTTCACAGAAAAGAGAGGAGGTCTATCTTTTAGGAAAAATATCAAGCCAGTATTTCCTCCGTTCAGTTTTTCCCTCCACCTAACAGCACCACTTGCATGAGAACATATGCCCTTCCATGCCAGTCATTTAGCCTTCAAAACAAGGAATTTTTCCAAAAATGGAAAGTTTGCTGTGTGCTGGAACTATGGACAAAAGATCAGAGCAGAAAATCACATTCAGGATTTACTAGCATTTGAAATCACTAAACACTGAAATTCATCTTCTATTGTCTTATTTTGTCTGAATGAAAAGAAAACTAATAATTATTTTCTTACTGAAGAGTAATGATTAATACATATACATGAAGAGCATTACTATTGTTACCTCCCAGACCAGGCAGTCCACTAACTCCAGGGATGCTGGGTAGCTCAGGAGCTCCTGCACAGTTTTGTGCCTGGCAAGGCATTAGTAAAGCAACTGCTGCTGCAATCATGCAGAATGAGTAAGACAACATGGTTGCTCAGGGAAGCTGTAAGAAAATGCACGTATCTGTTAAGCAGTGATTCTGTACAACACGCAGGCAGGGGCTGATAGAATAGCTTTTTTTTTGTTCCCTTCTTGAAATATATTCTATACTTCAAATAAAGTAAAGTTTAAGGTATATGATTTTTTTTGCTACCGTAGCCTATCCATATAAATGTTTCTAGACTGATAGGAACTGACATACGTACTACAGAAAGATTGTTAGACATCAGGGAGTATAGGGATATATATGTATCATTTTTGCTATTACTGATTATTTGTTGTATTAATCCTTGAGAAATGAGCTTGTGTAGAACTGACCGAGTTTAACCCATTACTTGTTTATAAGACCTGTAATCACTCAACAAAACATAGACATATATGACACCAACCTGAAAGGCACAATCTGTTACAGCAGTCATGGCAAAGGTTTGGAGCTACTTGGCAATCTCTTTAAGCACGATATGACTGAGGCACACTTACGTGAAATAGGTTGAGTGGAAGAGCATTTTACACATGGCCAACATTTTATAGCTCAATTGATATTACAATTCTGTTTTTGAACAAAATTCTACTAGCTTGAAGATGTCTGAGTTAGTGTTCCAAAAAAAGCATGTTTTCTGGTTGCCAATAGGCCCACTCATCTTATTTTATCCTTTCTGGCATAACATTAAGGAAGGTCATAATTTTTGTAATTTTTGAGATATCATGAGTAGAAAGTGCTGTCAAACCACGGATCATTGTAGCATTGGCCAATGCTGTGTGGTTATAAAACTTGAACTGATGAAAAATAAGATGTTATGTCATGGAGATATTCGGTTATTGACATTACTCAGCTAAAAATGAGAGAGAAAGACAGGTTCAAGATGCCAGAACGAGTATCCAGTTTTAAAGACATGACCCGGCTGGGCTGACTCTCATATAAACCTTGACTTCACACTTTACAATGAGATGACTATGTACTATTCTTTTAGCTAACAAATGGGTGTTCTTCAGTTAGTACACGGAATTTGTTTCAAAGCATATATGGAGAGCAGAATTAGAATCTCAGTTTATTATTAGTGCCATTTATTGAATGGGTATGCACAACTGGATTGAGTTTTAAAAATATGAAATACAGTTTCATCTGATAGGCTGACTTTATTGTAAAAAGCTTTTTATGTTATTGTACGTATACATCAATACTGAATATTTTTAAGAGTGAAACTTGTTTGGTCTAGAGAAATGTCTCATCAAACTCAGTTTGGTGAAGCATTCCTTTGAATATAAGAACATTCATTTATGTCTTAAGTTTTAGCACAGATGCATAGCTTAGCTCATAGTGCCAGTTCCTCATGGCCAGGATTATCTTCTTTAACAAGTACATTTCTAATCAACCTGAGAACCTGCATGCCGTATTAAAGCACTGTCACATTTCAAGCACTGAATCTGAATTGTTTCAAATTGTTTACCATTTCCTGTGTTGAAGGCTAATAGATCCTTCTGACAATGCTGGTCAATGACTGTGGAGAACAGACTATAAAAGGCTGTAATAGAAATTACTTTAGCTGGCCATACTTATGTCACCAAGATAAGAGAATGCAATTACAACAGGTACTTTTCCTCTGGTGCTGATCATTCAGGGAACTGCTTTTAAATGAACTATTGGACCCAGCTCATAATTGGATCATGATGCACAGCCAGAGTTCGGATCAGTTATATAACAAAATGGAAAGACAGCTCTTCAGTTTTAATCTACTTTTAATGACCTTCATCAGTCACCAGAGTCTGGTATCCTTCAGGCATCTCCGCATTCAGTAAAATTACCAATAGAAGTGAAAAAAAAAACCAGCCTCCCCTCCCCCCCATCACTATTAAAGCAAAAACATTAACTTTTAAATATAAATGTGACCAAAGAAATGGAATGGAACAGGTTTCCCTACTAGCTGAAGTTCCTTGCGATTTACGAGAAGTGAAACTTACCTTTCTGCTTCAAAGTGAAAATGAGCACTTCTCACAAGGCCCCTTTATATAGTGTCATTCTTGTTCAATGACACTGTGCTGAAGCAGAGATTAGATAAGCAGGGCACAATTAAGCCTTCTTAGTTTTGCTTACACACTTGTTATGCAAATGCTGAGAGAAATTTTTTATGCTGATAAATATGAATTTGTATTATAAAAGAAAAAGTTCAAGTTTCATTTTTTAACAAGGAAAAACAATTCAACAGGTAACTCCAGAATTGTAGTTTCATACAAAGGCACAAAATTTCAATAGAATTCCAATGAATGTAACAATTTTGTTCTGGTTTTTATGAAAACCAAAAATGAGATGTGGCCACCAGTGTTTTTAACAGATTGAGGAGATACCAGTCTCCTTTTTTAATCCCCCCCTCCTCCCCCCCAGTGATTAGATCTCAAAAACTGTTATAAAAGATCTCTATTCAAAATTCTTCCCTCTGCCTGATATGCAGCAAATGTTTGAATGCAGGTTAATCATTTTTAAAAACGTCTAGCCTCATGAGCTGAAACTACAGTAGATGAAAAGAATTTGCATTAAGCGTATAAAATGCAGGTTAGGTATTAGTAGGTAAAATACCTTGCTCATGAATGCAATGAAGACATTAATTGTTCTGTTTCCAAGTGGCTGCAGACTTCCGAAGTACTTACAGCTCTGAAAAACTTCTGCAGCTGCAAGATAAGAATAAACTCAATCTAGATTTTGGCAAGGAATATTCTAAATGATTAAGTGTCCACATTCTTAGGAGTCTAACTTATCAGAACATGATCTTATAGGTCCAATTTCTATGCAATTCTACAGCAGTTGCAATGGTTAATACTGCTGTGGGGTACTACTGCCCACATAAATCCCTATGTATATGGATGCAACTTTAATCAATGAGCAACTTTATAAACCTTGGCAAATTACTATTGCTTCTTCCTCTGAACACAGTTTGCAGCTCAAAAGATTAAATACAGAACTGGAAACGCCGAACCGGGAATTCAGTAAAACCTCAACAGCCACATACTGCCTCTCTTCAGGAAAGTGTGGCAAGAGTAAAATGTGGCAAGTTTTTACACATCATAAGCCATTATCAGCCAAGTTATTATCTTGTACCCACAGCTTAAAATAAATATACTCTTCAGAAAAACTCTTCTACCATGAGCCAGATTATACTTGCACAATAGAAGCTGGTAAGACGCTAAATCATCACCCACCATTAGATTTAATTTCCTTTGTGAAGTAGCAAGGAATTAGGGAAAAACAAATATACTGAAGAGTAAGGAATAAAGAAAGTAAATGTTTTATTTTTCTACAGCCTGGCATCCTCATGGAATAGCTAAAAGGTTTACAATTCCAAAATCCACTGGTGAGCCTATGTGGCAATGGCCAAAGTTGTTAAAAAGATTAACATTCTCAAAACCCAGCTTGGTTACTCCACTGATTTCAGCAGTACCCTGATATTCTTTGTGTCAATAAGTAGAACAGTAAGATTCCTTCTAAGGTCCTCTGACACATGAATTATGCTGGTATAGCGTTATGTGGGTAATGCCAGGAGAAATTGAACCCAAGCCCCACAACAGTCTATTTAACTGTTAGCAATGGAGAATTTTGGAAAAAGATGAAATCTGGTTTTCAAACACGTCACATATCCAGAAGGACTGCTTCTTTATGAAGCAGCTGGGCTTGTAACCCTCAAAAAAGCAGTCTGACAACTAATAACTGCCAAGGTCATTTCAAAGCTGGAACAAATTTCTTTTATATAATCTTCAAACACTTAATCAGAAAATTAGGTGAACTTTCCATTTTGCTCGACTCGCTGCTTGGAAGTGAACTGGTTACTAACAGCCTTATCATAGTCCAATCTACATTAAGCTATACAGCACACTGTCACATAAAATGCAGTGCTGTATAGACACAGTAGTTTATTTTAGTAACTTGTGGAACATTTATCTTAAATATGTCACTGTGCTGCAAGTTCCTGAAATCATCTGCCTTACCTTGTCCTTGGCACAGTGTCTGCATGGCAAGTAGTTGTGGTCAGCTCTCCATCTTTGCCTTCATCAAAGAAACATCCATGCTCAATGTTTGGCTAGAATTGCTATCTATGTGCTCTACTGATGTTAAAATAGTTCAGACTTAAGTGCCCGTTCAGTTTTTAAGGAGCGTGGTTAACATCAGCATAGGTCCTTGTCAGAAATACTGGGGTCTAAAGCTATGTCACACAGTAAGTATGAAATCAATCCAATAAGCAAGCACTCCCTTCTCTCCATCTGCACCTTAATTTTAAGATGAGGCCATACAATAAACAGGGGAAGGTCAAGAGTTCTCCCGCCTTTGCAAAATAAGAAACATTGATAAAATAATTTTTATGCTAGTTTATTGGTTATAGGAACAGGATGAAAAAGTAAAGATGAGGATACCTTACTACATCTTTTATAAGGAAAGAATACAAGTTCTACAGTTGATAGGCCTTAAAACTCATGTTACTGCTGTGTACTCTAGATTTATGCCACTCCAACTCACAGATAAGTATCTCACAGAAGAATGTAATTGCTGATGAGGCATATTTATGAACAAATATAATATTAGTCACATGCTGTCAGCTTAGCAATACAGTGTCATCTGGGGCAGAGATGTTTACATCAAAGTGTGACATGGGTGGATGAAGGAGGAGAAAGAACTGCTGAAGACAGATGGAAAGGCTCACAAAGACAAGACAGCAGCCAAGGGAAATTGTGGGGAGTAACCAACTCCATCAGAAGTTACTGACAAATCTTGCCTAAAAGTGTGCTTGCAAAGGACAGAAAACTTTAGACAAAAAAAGATAAGAAAGACTTCAAGTAATTTGATAATTCCTTTCAATCTACTTTCTATTCTAGGAAAAGCAAATTCAAACTGTATTATCAAGGAAAGGAATGACTAGTTTTTCCACAGATTTTGTGAAGAAAAAAAAAAAAAAGCAGGCATGCTTCTTTCCAATTAAAAGCTTAAAAGTATGGTAGGAAGAAACACTTGACCTTTTTTTTTAGAGATTACATCTGGTTCCTTCCTTCTCATTCAACTGAAGACATAGATTTAAACTACAGATTCATAATTGGCATCTCACTTAAACTTCACAATCTAAGAATGATTTCCATGAAGTCTTTTTTTTTTTCCCCTAGCTGTGCAAAAAGGTAGTTTAGAGAGATGCAATCTCCAAGGTCACTGAAGGAGCTTGTTGGTGTGTTTCTTTTTTTTTTTTTCCCCTCTAAACATCGATTTTCTATCCTGTAGGCCCCATTACTGGCCACGAAAACTATCATAGGTACACAAAGAGCACAATAACACTGTTTGAGAGAGCAAATTCTCAGCTACAAAACGTTTTTCAATATATTCTCTGCCATCAGCTATGCATTTTCACGAGGGATGAACAAGAGACTGCATGCCACATTTGTGAATACCCACACCAGTGAAGGTTACCCACAGTTGTTGCTGCTAAAACGCATCACCCACACCCTCACTGTGCTCACATCCACTGTTTGGCCACCACAGACATTCAGCAAGCACCAATGAATAGCAATTAGTGCCATTTTTTCCTCATGGAGGCATTCAGTGACACATCTTTGCTTCATCTGCACTTCCACTTCAAATGCCATTCTGTCAGACTGCCCCTCTGCTGCCATCTTTCACATAGGCACAAAATGCAATGGAATATTGGTGGGAAGGTTCAGCCTCTACTGCCATACCACCAACATCCATCTGTGATGCCACGGACCAACATAATGAAACAGGAGGCATTACTTTTTAAGCTCCCTCATAATTCCTCCCTTTATTTTCTTTGCTAGGTATATGGCCCTAACTTTGGGAATGCTGCAAAACAGCGTGGAAGATAATTCCTAGTCCTTGTTCAACAACACAATAGAAATACCCATGGCAGTGTCAGTTGTTAGCTGTTATGACGGAGTAAATATCAGCTTTTTACTGGAAATAATACAGAGTAATCATGGGGGTTTTTCTGCTACATGGTGTTCCCATGGAAATGAACTATACCTTTTCCCTCCTTTGCAAATAAGTAATAGGAACCAATTTATGCCAGAACAGCCCCTGGCCAAGACTGTCTTGGAAGCATAACTTCATAATTCATATCTTTCTCTTATAGCAGCCACCCGGCCCTTGTTGTCAATTTAAAATAAGATGATAATCTAGTCTGCAGATAGCAAAAAAAAAAAACAAAAACAAAACCAAAACAACCAAACAACAAAAAACCAAAAACCTTTTAAAGCTGTTATTACATTTATTATTGCTGGGAAATGGGCCATCTAATGCCTCACTGCTAAATGTTACAACACATATATCCAAAAGCATTGCGAACATTGCAATTGAAAGTCCAAGTCCCTCAGAGAAACACGTTATTGAATGCACATGGCAGAAAATAAAGAGTTATGAAAGAAAATAAACTCACCGAGCTGCTCCTCAGGCCTGATGGTGACAGTAAAATGAAGCTTTGCATTTTACTGAGGGGATCCCAACTGCTAATGAATTCCCAGGAAATCCCATTTTTCATGGTTGATACTCCATTATGAGCTGAAAATGAAGACAAAGTAGACATCACAGGTCTTCATTTTTGCACAGAACTTTTGAAGAGATTGAACACAAAGCTTTGTTTTAGCTAATTGTGTGGTTTGAAGCATAGAACAGTTAATATATGTAACTGTATGTTTTAGATTGTGATTAGTGCAGAAGTACAGAGGAACACTGAATTTCCTTTTTTTTTAAATTAGAGGTAGATATTAAGGCACTTAATTATTTCAGCTTCCCTGATGTGCAGAGCTGCAGAGCACCTGGCCAGGCTAGTGACACATGGCTGCGAGCCCAGCCAGATCCTGCGTGGTGACTTTGTGCTTCCCCTCAGGAAGCCCAGATCTCTCTTCCGAGGGCCAGCAGGGGTGTAACAGAGGCAGCAAGTGATGCCTCAGGGCTCCATTACTCCCTGCCTTAGTGCAGAACTCTAACACAGTGCAGGCACACGGCCTGCTCCTAGCGACTGTATCTTCCACTAATGAATCCCTGGCAGAAGGCACTGCTGTCAGGACAGCCAGAGCTCCATGCCAAAGACCATAAAAGTCAGTGCCCGAGGAAACACATTGATTTCCTTGTGTTTGAGGACAGCTGAACTGACTTGAAACTACGGAAGGAAGAATTATGACAGAGAGTTCACCAAGACTTGGCATGACAAGACTACTCATCTACTGACAGATAATAAAGATGCAGTTGGCTAAGTAAATAGCTTTAAACTGAGCTGATTCTCTCAAGAACAGGATGACTTATTTAAATTAAAGCACAGAATTTTGCATGCTGCAAACAGAAACTTGAAACCTCTGCCTGGTGCCCAAACAAAAAGCATGACCTCCTCCTGAACACGTGTCATGATTACACCCTTAGATCATCAATGCTGAAGTCAAACTCCTGTTATATAATTTTGATTGTTATTCAGCTACTAGTATAGTCTGTGCTATACCAAAATATTTCGTTCGGATTATAAAATGTTGACACTGACCCCAGAATCAGAAAGATTAACACAACGAACCACAATATATTCATTTGTGAGGATTAGAAGACTGCAACTGAAGACAAATAGAAGACAATGCAACTGAAATTGAAGCTGCTGAAAATATGACACTTTAAACAACACAACGCCCAGTAGTATTTTTTTTTTTTTCTTGTTTACTCCTGTATTTCAGTAAAGCAGCCACTGGGAACAGAACAAAACAGTGCCAATGTCTTGAATTTTTAGTTTTCAAACACAGAAAGGTATTTTTGTACTGGACAGAATGATTTAGGGCACACCTCCCATATAATGATGTAGGAATAGGCGAATTACTTTTAGTCTAAATGTAACACCTGCACATTAACTGAAGTTCCAGGGACCTTCACTGGGAATTGGATACTTTTCTGTCCTTTAGAAACTTCCTTAGGTATGTAACAAGCTGTGGGGAAAGACAATATATATAAGGAAAGAGAAAATTCAGAGGACAAAGCTTTGAGAAATTAGAGAAATTATTTTCTCCAGTCAGACACTGAGAGAGGAAAAGGTGGGCATTCAATCACTGAACAGGGTAACAGACACTGATAGTGTTTCCCTGGTACCGAGACACAAACCGTTGCAACCTGTAGTGCAAGCTGCATTAGAAAACACATTCCCATCTGTTTTCTTTCAATTCTGTCTTTTTCAGCAAGCTAATTAAAGTCTCCTGGAGTTCATCTATGTAAGCAATAGAAAGAAGGAACAGATGAAGACCCAGAGACACAGAAAGAAAACAAAAGAGAACAAACAGTCCCATAACTTCACATTCTTTCTAGAGAAGTGGGGAATGTTGAATATTGCCTGAGGCCAGTACAAACTAAACTGCTCAGTATGTTCTTAAAACACAGCAGACTTAGCTTGCATGACAAATCAGATAGAATGTTTAATAACCCTGAGAAATATAATAACCATGAATGTCAACTACTTAACTAATATAATTTTTTTATTCCAAGAGGCTCACTCCTTACAGCCCGTATCGCAGCCTTATACGAGATCTTGAATATTAAATATTGTTTTTCCTAGTAAGACAACAGAATCCCAATGAAATTATTAACAGCCATCTCAGTTATCTGCTGTGTTCTTAGTGGAGCAATCTGACCTACAGCCTGCCCTGCAGATTTCTTAGAATCATATCCCTTAGAATTGGAAGGGACCTTTGAAGGTCATCCAGTCCATCTCTCCTGCAATGAACAGGGACACCATAGCTAGATCAAGTTGCCCAGGGCCTTATGCAGCCTTGCCCTGAAAGTCTCCAGAGGTGGTACAAAGCATAAACGCATCACTAGGTGGTTTGTACAGCTCCATTCTGCTAAGCATGACAAATATATGCACACCTTCGCAATAGACTGTGTATATCTCAATACCTTTTCCATTTGAAATGCAAAGCACAACCAGCAACTTCTGTTCTTGTTGCCTCAGATCCCAAAGTACGCACATGCCATGCAGCTGCATAATCATTATCTTGTTCAAATATTATCTCTGCAGAAGTGACTATACAAGATGCTACAGATTGCTGATCTACCTGTACTGTTCAGGAAATATAAGCAGAGATTGGAGCTGTCAAACATATGCTGGATGAAATCAACCCTTTTCACACTAATCAAAGCACATACGCCATGAGTACAGTGAAGTCTACCTGGAGTCTAGACCAATATAAAATCATACAATGTTTTGGGTTGGAAGAGACCTTTAAGATCATGTAGTTCCAACCCTCTGCTATAGGTAGGAACACCTCCCTCTAGACCAGGTTGCTCACAGCCTCATCCAGCCTGGCCTTGAATGCTTCCAGGGAGTGGGTAGATATTGTCAGATACATATACAAAAGTCTCTGAAAGCAGCTACTGTCTCGCTAAGAATATTTCCAATTTTCTATTTTCCGTGGTTTCACACAGCTATTGCCAATCATTTCCTTGCTTGTTCTTTAAACATTCTTCTGCACAATTATGAGGGGGAAGTAGGTTGTAGTATTCGCCCTGTAAAGGAGATGTGTGGGTCTGGAGTACAAGCCTTGTGAGCAGCTGAAGGAGCTGGGATTGTTCAGCGTGCAGAAGAGGAGGCTCAGGGGTGACTTTATTGCTTTCTGCAACTACTTGATGGAAGGCTATGGTGATGTAAAAGCTGGCCTCTTCTCCCATGTAACTAGCAATAGAACTACAGGGAATGGCCTCAAGTTGCACCAAGGGAGATTCAGGTTGGACGTTAGGAAATAATCGCTCTCCAAGAGAGTGGTCAGGTAGAGGAATGGGCTGCCCAGGGAGGTGGTGGAGACACCAACTCTGGAAGAGTTAAAGAAACATTTAGGTGTTGTACTGAGGGACATGGTTTAGTGGGAAATATTGGTGATAGGTGGATGGCTGGATAGGACAAACTTAGAGGTCTTCAAACTTGGTAATTCTGTGGTTCTATGATATCTGATAACCTCAAGTTTGTGAGAGAATGCGCTGTGACAGAGACAACATCAGCAGTTGTCAGGCAGGAACATGATCATTTGTTAGGAATGGGAACCTACATGAAAGAGCTTCAAATATGCTTACTTACTGGTAGTCTCATTGCTTGTCCATCTTACCAGACTGTCTTAGGGTATCCAGCTAGAAAATGAGCTCAGCACAAGTCTTTTCTTAACTGTGCCTTTTCAGAGGTTTGTTCACATGCTCTAAAGGTTGGGCTGTGCAATTGCAGCTGTGTGTGTATTGCACAAAGAAAGAAATATCTCCGGACTGAAGAGAGGGTGCAGCCCCTGAGCATGAAGTCTTAATGGCACTTTACATGGGGTTAGCCTCCTCCCTGTGACACAGCCTGGTGAGAGGGCCAGCCAGCTGTGCACACAGAGTGCCCCTTTCACAAGGTCAGTCCCTTTCTGCTGTTATCTTGGGCAATCATCTCAACCTGAAGTGGATTTTTCACTATTTGCTTCTAAATATCACTTTTTCAAATCCGCAGAGAACTGGGATCCCAACCAAAGTGGTACACTGCTTTTCTCTAGCATCTATTTTTCCCAATTGTTTCCAGTTAACCAGGGGCTCGTTTGTTCAGTAACTTCCACCTTTTATGTCCTTCTACCTTTCCAAAATAACATACTGAACCACTGTAACAGAGACACGTGATGTAAACTATTAAATTTTCAACAATTCACACAATTTGCTAAAGTAAAGACCAAATTCAGAGCTATTCTGAGAGCATGAGATAAAGATAATCTTCAGGGTTGCAGCGTTCTAAACCACAAGAGAGCTCCTAGTAACGTGAGATGGAGAACAGTGTACAATTTTCAGTGAACAGACACATAATGCACTTGAGCACTTAGAGACATTAGAAACATATTTAATAGCTTTTACAACTGCTATTATTTGATGAGTGGCAGCTTTGCTCACTCTACAGCTGTATGATCAATATACTGTGTCGCAAAAAATACAGGTTATGTCTTAATCTACACTTTAAAACATGAGATTAAAAAGAAGAAAACATTTTCAGCTTGCTTGTAAAACTTTTCAATTGAAAGCCTTTTCAATTTTAAGCTATTTACCCCAAAGAAAACCTAAATAACAGGTACTAGAAAACAGCAGCACACAGAGGGCAATTTGACTCTTCAAGTTAATGTTTATTTTGCTAATTTTTGATGCAAAAATATATGATTTTCTTAGCAGGGTTAGGAAGTAATACTAAGATCATATAATAGAATCACAGAATATAATCACAGAATGATTTAGGCTGAAAGGGACCTTTGTTTTCATTTTAGTTGCTGTGTGTCTCTTTAATAAAAAGTACGGTGGTGAAAACATATCACATTTCCTTCCACATTTCTCTTTTCCCACCTTCACTTTGCTTTTGTATATACATATAGCTGTATATGTAGGGTAGAGAGTGCATAAAGGGGAAGTAGAGGAGTTAAAATTTTGTGGTCTGTAAGCAAAACAGCATTGATTGAACAACTTCTGAGTGGGACACCCTTGCACAGATACTACTGGATCTGCAAAGGGTAATGTAGGAGATAACCAAAACCAAAGTATTCCTGATTAGGTTGCTTCAGTGATTTCAAGACTTCCAAGTAAATTTGGTGAAGTGCTGTGTCCAACTCAGCTAAAATAGTTTGTGGCAGTTCAGTATCTCTTTTTTGAACAAAAAGCACGCTTTGGAGTTGTCTTTGGAATGGGTGGAGTTGCACAGAGCCTTTTCTTGGGCATACCTTTGCACAAGGTGAAGTGGCCAAGAGCTGCAGTCACACAGTGCAGATGCTCTCATCTGATGGGAGAGATGTAGAGCTCTGTCCCTAAGAGAGCACAGAAAGCTCCTTACTCATTTCTTTAGGGACATCTCTGAAACACCTTCAAGCACAGTCTCTCTGAAACCACACATCAAAAAAGGGGGGTGACCATTTCTCTCACATTTAATTTACTTTGCCCAGTGTAAATTCCTCCACTGCCTGAAGTTTTATCTGTACAGAGACTCTCCAGGGCTGGAGGAGGATGCCAGCCTTCCTTCCACTGCAAAGATGCCTCATGCAGGATTAAAGTACAAGCTCGGCTCTGTGGGACAGATTGTGCTGCCAGCTTTAGACATAAACAAACTAGAATAAAACAGAGCCAAGAAATAGGTCTTGCAACAGTTTGCCCTGAAGCACTGATCTAAACAGCTCAAGCTACAGTGCCCAAAACATCAGTAGGGTCACAGACCATACATAAAAAGGGATGTTAACTGCAGGTGTCTCAGGATAAAGTCATTCCCTAGAGAGAAGACAGAGGATCCAATCCTGCTGCAAGTACAGAGAAATTTGGCAAAGCTTAAAAGAGATTTAAGACTGCACTTCTGTTTCCAGATCCTCCTGCCTTACTTTTTTTTCCTGGACATTATTGGCCAAATTACAATCTAAGAATTATTTTTCTTTCCCAGGCCATAAGGTAGAGCCACCTTGGTAGTACTAAAGCTACAATCTCCCCTGCGTAACACTACTCTGCTCATTTCACTTATGAAAACAATGCCTTCTTTGAGAGTAGAAAATAAGCCAGAGTAAAGGGCATGTTTCTCCTCTAGTCTGAGCATAAATTATCAACCTCTCCCCCATATTTAGATTCTATGATTAATAAATAAAACAGTAAGTACAAGGTGCTACTGATTGAAATAGTTTCCCGTTTCCGTCTTGTAGTTCCCACTGAAAAATGACACTTCAAAAATGAAAAGAAGGAAAAGAGCTTCTCAGAAATAATAGCTTGTTCACAGGTGACAGAACAGCTCTTCCTAAGCCTGTACTCAGCCTGAAATTGCGCTGTGGTTTAGAAAGATAAATCCAGCAGCTGATTAACAGACGCTGCTCTCATCCTGAATTGCTCAGAAGCTCTGTGAAGGTCATATTAACACCACATGAGAGGTTCTAATCAGGGGTATAACAGCAAATAGAGATTAGTTTCTAATTAATGTAAAATTAAGTGGTCATCAGGGATGCTGATTTAAGCCTCTTGAAAAACAATTTCAATCTCTCACTTTCTGTTGTTCATCTATTAAAAAACAGAGTCACTAAAGAGTGAATGTTGTCCCCAACATGGGTGGTGAGAAAGGTCATAACTTTGGGCACCAAGAATACCTTACCAGGTTAAAAAATATGACTTAAGTCAGAGATCTGAAGGACTCAAAAGACAAGGTGTCTACTTCAAGAAAAAGACTTGAAAAAATAGCTCAAACTTCCTCTATATGTTGTTCTTGCTTTCCTGTGCAAAATCAGGCACAAAAACATAGCTATCTAGAAAATTTGGACTGTATGAAACTAAGCTTACAACATAAATGTTCACATGCTTCACTTCCAGTATTTTTAGCATAAGAAAATATTTGCACTCACCTGCAAAGGGTTTTTCAGTCTGTGTAGATTCCATCCGAATGATGCACAGTGTTCTCTAAATGCAAACAGTCTCCGTAAGGTTGCAAGAAGGATCACAAAGTTCAAAAAGGTGTATTCCATGGGGAAAATCATGTAAAAATTAGTCTAACCTACAATTCAGAGCTGGACTCTTGAAACACTGACATGGCAATTAGGAATAGTATTTATTAAATATTTTCTGATAAAGACATAGAATCCCAGAATGACCTGAGTTGAAAAGGACCACAATGACCATCTGGTTCCAACCCCCTGCTACGTGCAGGGCCAACCATCAGACCATGCTGCCCAGAGTCACATCCAGCCTGGCCTTAAATGCCTCCAGGGATGGCATCCACAACCTCCTTGGGCAACCTCTGCCAGTGCGTCACCACCCTCTGTGCGAAAAACTTCCTCCTAATACCTAACCTAAACATCCCCAGCTATCATTTACTTTGAATATTTTTATTTTAAAATCATGGTGTGTAAAGATATACCAAACATGTATATACAAGTACTATTATATTTATTCTTCTCATCACTGTCTCCAAACTACTACAGATCCCAAAAGCTTATATTATCATTTTATAATTGTTTCTCTCAGCACGATTGAAGCTGTAGATGCAGGTTAAAAGAGAAATTCTCACATAGCTGTAAGATTTTGACAGCTCATTTTTAGCATTATGAGGTGAAATTAATTTTTCAAAATGACAGCAGGAAAGCAGAGCCATTTACATCTGCAAAATATTACTCCAAATTCTTTTCAAATCAGCAGCTAACACAGTGACTTACCAGCTGACCTACTGGAGGCATTGCTCTTAACCCAGCGTCAAACGAAATGGTCACAAAGCATACCAAAGTGGTTTTGAAGATGATCTCAAAGCAGACAGACTTACTCTTTCCAAGTAAATACACTGGAGACTGATTTACCACAGATCTCTAAACACAGAAGCATGACAAGATTGTACTCAACTCTCCAGAATATATCTTTTTTTTTGCCCTAAATTAACCCAAATCAGTCTTTTAAATATTGAGCCTTATCCTGCATTTTCATATAATAAATATTGATTACAAACTCCCAGGCAGAATGTTAAAAGTTCTTGTTTCCATAGCTGCAGGACACCAATTAGTGTAGGAAAGGAATGCAGTTGACATTGTTACTAACAAGGAAAATGTGATGCAGATTAGCATCTATTTCATGCTCTAGAAAACTCACATCCTTCAACAACCTGTAATTATTTTTCTTTTCTGCCATCTAAAATGTCTCTTGTGACAAAATATGATATTATTTTAACTTCAGAGCTGTTGTAAACTAAGGTCAGTTAAGACTATTTTACACTTGACAACTTCTGGAGAATATATTAGAGCCACGGTTTCTTCATGCTCCATCTCAAGCCTCTGTACTGAGCAGGGTGAGAGCTTAGTATCTGACCAAATAAAAAAGCTCTACTCGTTACTGCTTGCAAGCATGACAACAGTTAAATGTATCTCCATAACAACAGACTCTATAGCAACTCTGAATTTCCATTTCAGTTGTGAGGCCGACCAAGTAATCTAGATGTATACTGCAGCATTTGGCTTTGCCTCCACAAAACTAAATTAAAAAAAAAAATCAAACCAACAACCCACAAAACAAACCAAACAAACAAACCAGAGTACTCGTCTCCTGTGCACGTGCTGGTGTGCAGAGAGCACAACCAGGGTCTTTCAGACACACTTCAGAAAGAGGCTTTGGGTTGTCGGTCACCTACAAGATTACAGTACTTCTCACAGGAGCAGAAGAAGGTGGAAAAGTTATAAACAGACTTGTGGAGAGAGAGAAATAGGACAGGTCTTCTGTGAAGGCTGAGTTTCAAATCACGTAGGCCATAGACAGACACTTAATTTTTACCAGCAGAAGAGAATGCATCAATTATTATTTCCAGCCGTCATCATCAGAAATGCAGAGGGAAAACATGATGTGCTTTTCTTCTCAGACTCTGGAGAAACCACGTTCCCGTGTGTGACAGTAATATGGCTCAGATGATGGTCTCTGAACTACAATTCCTCATTATGAACACCTATTCGATTGGTATGTTAGTCTTGGAATTTATGAGTGCAATCGAGCAGAAATACCATTTATTAGCTTAATCACCTAATAATAGTAATTTGTATAAAAATAGCTCATTATATTCCGTAAACTAGATTCAAAATGCTCTCTTAGCCAAACATTTCCATGTTTTCAAATGAGATGCATGGTTTAAACGTTCAAAATTTATTTTAGTTCACATTTTAAGTTCAGCAATTCATAAAATGCAGATAAAGATACGAAGCCAGATTGTACTTGGACATGAAATGGAAAATACATTTCAAATGTTAGTAGGCACCGAGTCCAGGGCATTATACTAGAGCTGACATGGAGTTAAACCTTTCTGAAGCCTACAGCATAAACGTAACGTCCTCAGCATATCACGTGCTAAACAATTCACGAGTGAACAAATAGGTCTGTTTCATTAGGAGATTCAAAACTGGATGTCAAAGAGAAAACCAATGTAAATACAATCTGGTTATGATTATTCTATTCAGCAATGTAGTAACAGACTTCTACAAAACCACATAACTGAGAGAAGAAAGTTGGATTGATTTTTTCTTTTTATTAGCTGTTCACAATTCACAAATAATGAAGATATTTGAATTTGAACAGTCTAAATCATTCCATTTTCCAGAGCCTTCTATCACTGCACAGTCTTCATTTTTCATATTATTTGGTTCTCCGGGTTTCCAGTTGCTGTAAGTTAAAGGCCCACCACTCAGGTACATGAATCTGCCCTCAGTTTGTGCATCAGATATCCCAATATAAGCTTGGGTTGAAGGGCTAACTAAGTCTTTTAAAGCTGTATTCTCAGCCTCATTCCTTGGAGAGGCAAGCACACCTCCAGCTTTTGCACAAAGGGATTTTCCCTTTTCAAAATTATCTTTCTTTCCAGTTGAGACAAACATTTTTTTAGCAACATTCACAATGTCCTTTAAAATCATGGCTAGAAGAAAAAGCAAACACCATGTTGAATTACACCATAAATTGAAGATCCTAAAGTAATTTATCCATAATATCTCAATTATTACTGTTTTAGTACAAGCAGACTACTTGTAATAGTAGGCAGAAACCAACAGAAATCAAACAAAATTAACACCTGGCTATACCAAATCCACATTTTAATAAAACAGGACTTTCACAAGGCTTGGACCACAAGTAATTTTTAACATATATTTTTTTGTTCCCATATTATTTTTTATTTTTATTTTCTATTTTTAATATATATTTATATATTTTTAATTATATATTTTTTTTGTTTGCATCTTATTACTGCTCTTGAATCAAGACCTGAAGGAACTTGCTCCCTAAATCAAATTGCACGCAGAACAAAAAAAAAATCTTGTCAGGTCTCAATGCAAAAATCAGAGACTAATTAAAATTCATGCAGAGGAACTGAGCTGCCATTAGGAGATCTTTCATACCTAAAGCTAAGAGACTGTAATGAAATTCAGAGTTTCAAACCAGGGAGCGCAAACAAGAAATAAAGGGACAGCTTTAGTGAGTCTGGGAAACTGAATATTTACCTTGAAAACATTAATGATCTTAGGAGAAATATACATATCTATAGTTCACATGCCTGCCAGGTTTTCATGAAACAAACAAACAAAAAACCCCCAATGTAAAGTGAGCCTCTTGTTCACTGAATAGATAAGACTGGGCTTGGAACAACCCTTTTGAAATGCATTTGCTTTCTTTGACAGACATTTATTTTACCATACTGTCTTCAACAGGTATCCATGATTAGTGTCAAGGGAGTCTACCATCTTATAATAATTGTAAGGAAACTCCAAAAAGAAAATTGATATGATTGTATCTTACCTTTTTTGTATCTGTTTAAATCATCTTCCAATACCCGTATTTTCGCTTCCAAAGCAGTTACTTGTCGTTGCAGGTCATCATTTACAACAACTAAGAATTAAGGGTATTGCTTAGTAATTTATCTTAAAAATAACTACACCACTGCTGTCTTTCATCTGATGTCAATCTGTGTGAGAGACATTCGGTTTCCAGAGCAGAAACCAGAGGGCACACTGCAGAATCACTCTCTGGGAAATTGTGCCAGTGAGAGAGCCACATTTCTAACTCAGATGAATATTTGGGTGGGCTTTGAATTCTCAGAGCTGACAAGCTCATCAATTCATCTGGAAAAGCCCAGATCTCAAAGGTAAAACACAAATGTAAGCATTTTAAATGAATTAAAGAGGAAAATACATGAATAGACAAAGAATTAAAGGGAAATGCCTTTGTGATCTGAGTGAAAGGATTTGTAATTTTAGACACAAACAACAAAGAACTAGTGACTCCAGACACTTTTTTTCCCAAGTTATGCTGGGCAACTCATCCCCTAAGTAACAGGTGTTTTATTTGTTTGCTCATCACACTTCTGGAAGTCACACCTTCACACCTTTCTTCAAATGATGTAATCAGAACACGAGACATGATAACAAATATTTTAAAGATAATACACTTACAGGTTGAAAAATAGATTATAGAAACACGAGAGCTTTACTACTTACTTCCACGTTCTCCTTTTTGACCTTTTTCTCCTTGTGGTCCCACCTCTCCTTTTAATCCTGGAGGTCCTGCTTTTCCAGGCAAACCCTGCAGACCTCTCAATCCTTCCCCTAGAGTTTGATTTGAGAGAAAATAGTTCTAATGTTTTCTGAGAGTATTCTCCCACCATGTTCCCTTAGTGTTTGGAGAGAGTCCTGAACTGAGAAACAGTTTAACAACTAGCAACTGTATGCAGAAGACATAAACACCAAAGACTCTCTTAAGAAGATGTCTGCAAACCCAGCTGAGGATAGGAGGTAAAGAGATGAATTCACTCAGAAGAAAGGGATGAAATTGGTAAGTGAACGGGAAATAGATAACGTTGGTGGAGCTATCTGTATTTCTGCTTTGAGAAAGCTTTTCAGCAACAAAACAAAGTCCCTGCATTTATACCAATCAGAAAAGGAGATAATTCACAGCATCAGACAACTTCTTGTTTACCCATGATTTCCTAATACTCACTCATCATTTTAAGTTTTCTGTGATGCACTGTAAGGTTACCCTGCACTTTATGAATGATGAAATTCTTTTGAGAAATACTCAGTATTTGAGGTTTGTACATGAAACACAACATATCCTCAAATTTTATGTGAATACTAATTGTAGAAACAATTGCT